ATATACTTCAGTAAGGATAAAAAATGTATTTCTCTCAGTTTTTATTGCATGAAGCTGCTTACACCTGGCAGTTTGGAGAGAGAACAATTTTGTTTAGAGGGCTTTTCTTAAACACGTACTTTATTTCTGTAGTGCTCAGAAAATTGACAAAAGGGTTGCTTATTAAAACCAGAGAGATTTACATAGGATTCAGAAGTTAATGCCTTTGGAAAGTAAATTGTGGAACAGTGTTCTATTGTTCAAACTTTAGATTTTTTAAGTCCTAAATATTTCCTAAATTCAGTGGGTTTTTTAACATTACATAATGAAATGTAACATTGGAATATTTTGATTTAATGAAATAATCAAAAGTAGTCATTAAAGCCTTTTCCCCTGTATTTGTCCTGTTATCACAGGTCAGTCCTACAAATCCAGATCATTAGCTAATCAGCATTACTGGCAAGCACTATTACAGTGACAGCTGGGGTTACCTCCCCTCTATTACGCATGGCCCAGCCCCCTGCACTCATGTATGGGATGTGTGCCAGAAGCGAATGTTTATTTGGATGCTCTTTTTTTCCATTTATTCATTTTTGTCTATCTGCCTGTCTAAGTTTATTTAGTTGATGTTACTGTTTAACAGAATAAGCAATCATTAAGAATTTATTGTTTGGGTTAATGTTTCAACATGTATATATGTATCTATGCAATCCTTTGACTTGGGACCATGGTGACCTAAAGACACGAGAAGCAGACATATAGAGAACTAAGTCAAACAGTACACCTTAGAGAGACCAGGGCCCAATAGCACTCCTTTGAGGGAAACCATCTGATTTTTAGTGGGTGAGGGGACTTTGGTAAAAGAGATCAGTATCATAAAGTTTTAATGTGTAAGGGCTCAATTGTTTTCAAAAACCCAATCAGGCTGCTAAATTTTATGAGTGAGTGAGTGATTCAGTGAAGTTTTACACTGCTTTCAGCAATATTTCAGCATGAATGAATCAACACATTGATATACCTGTATTCAGAAAGTAAAGGGAACATTATATTTCCTAAAATGCAAGGCAAACATAACAAAAATCATTGCGGAATATGAGGGGATCTTGGTTAGAGAACAACATCATTGTTTTAACATCAAAGGCTCATATATTTTTTTAAAATCAAGTTACTAAATCTTTATACATTACAAATATATTATACATCTTATTTTCATACAAGAGTAACATAAAAAAACCTGTAAAACAGTGGCTTGATTACTCTTGGGAAAATATTTCAATACTGTTTTTACCTTGGGGTGGTGGGGTAGCCTAGTGGTTAAAGCAGTGGCTTGTCATGCTGAAGAACTGGGTTCGATTCCCCACATGGATACAATATGTGAAGCCCATTTCTGGTGTCCCCTGCTGTCATATTGCTGGAATATTGCTAAAAGCGGCGTAAAACTAAACACACTCACTCACTCCTTTAGATGTGGTATAATTGATGACGATGCAATGTGTTCAGCCTTAAAATGATCTAACTGTCAAGGTAGCCATATGTCATCTTCTTTTGTACAAAGGGGTGATATTTAAATTTACTACAACCTTTTCTATGTGGAGGTGAAACTCGTTTTAATGAACAATGTGTGAAGCCCATTTCTGGTGTCCCCTGCCGTCATAGTGCTGGAACATTGCTAAAAGCGCTGCAAAACCATACTAATTCACTCACCCTTCCCACCTTGTTATGCAACATGGCATAAAGGGACATTATAATATTAAACCAGTAACTTTATATCACACACTCCTGTTTATGTGCAAGTGGTCCTGACTACCTTATTTAAGTGACTTGCCAGCCGTTGCAGGGTTTAGACATACTTGTATTAGCAAGTGTCTCAAATTTTGCTTATTATTGCTGGTGTGTACAAATACTGTACATAAATATTCAGATAAAGTCCCCTCATAAATTATACATTTTTATAAATTTTCCATATTATACAACTAAAACAGCAAACTGTACAACACTTTTGAAATTTGTATTTTTGGAAAGCTATATGAATATTGTGATGAATCGTGTAGACATGTGTGACGTTCTCATTTCCATAATACTGGAAACAGTTTGTTCTCATGATAGACTATGTCACCAATATCATCAGCAATGGAGACTGATCAACATAGAGGAGTGAGTGCTATATGGCTGTGGTCTGTAAATAATCGAGCCTGGACCAGACAATCCAGTGATCAACAGCATGAGCATCGATCTGCACAATTGTGAACTGATGACATGTGTCAACCAAGTCAGCAAGCCTGACCACCCGATCCTGATAGTTGCCTCATACGACAAGCATGGGTTACTGAAGATCAATATTCTAACCCAGACCTTCACGGGTACAACATAGAAGAAGTGATGCTAAATCATAGGTTTATGTGCACACGTACTCCTCATTGTCTCCCCTCATTCTTTACACCCCTCACCCCAACCCCTCTTCACCTAAACTTTGCCATCCACCCCACATCCCCCACCCCAAATCCGCAACCCCACACCACCTACCTACAGTCAGTGGCCAAAAGTGAGTTCGCAAAAATAGTTTCGCAGTTTCGGGTCACAACGTTTCACGATTTATTATGGCTTCGCGTTTTGGCAAATCGGCAAACATCGCTACGAAATTTCGCATGTTTTTTCTTAATGGTGTGTAAATGATAGCGAGTATATTTTTGCAGTTATTTCCCTTTGCTTACCTTCGGAATATCGTTTGCTTGAAGATGCCGTCTCACGGCTGTCAACTTACCCCTGATCAGAGAAATCTTATAACTTTATCACAACAAGGTAAATCTAGTTACCAAATCGCAGATTTACTTGAAATTAATCCAAGAACTGTACAAAAATGTATCAAGCGTTATAATCAAGTCGGATCGAACGAACACAGACCAAGAAGCGGAAGGCCAAGAAAATCGTCACCGAGAGGTGATAGAAAATTATTTTGTCTTGTTAAAAGAAATGGGCGGAGTAGTTTGAATGACATTACAACTAAATTTAATGCACAATCAACTCATACAGTGTCTACTAGAACTGTTCGCAGACGATTTTCACTGAGGGCTACAGGCGGCGGTAAGTCGAAGAAAATCACAATATCACCGGTCAACAGCGAACGCTGTTTACGATTTTGTTGCACTAAATGGCATTGGACCCGAAATGAGTGGCGAAAAATCATATTTAGTGATGAGACACAAGTAGTGATTGGCAGAGAAAGAAAACTGTTTATTTGGCGCAAAAGAAATGAACGTTTACTGCCCGAATGTTTAGGGGTCCGCACGGATCATGACAGCAGAATGGTGATATCGGCTATGTTTTGGGGGTGCCTCACGTATCATGGAGTGGGAACACTGACATATGTGGATGGAAATATGAACACCGACAAATGTATAAATGTTTTGAATGAAAATCTCTGGCCTGTCATTACCCAACACTTTATAAACCAACCCTGGACATTCCAGGAAAACAATGCTCCATGTCATGTGTCTGCGAGCGCCAATCAGTGGAAAACAGACAATGGTATCAGAACACTTCCATGGCCAGCCCAAAGTCCAGACTTAAATACTGTAAATCATGAAATTAATGCGAGCATTTTACTAATGCGCAAAATGCGTCTGTCCTCTTCTCGCATTATTATAATGACGCACTTCACTCTGACCATGTCTACTTTTGAGAACTTAATAAAAGACAGAAAACGTAAATCTGTTGACACTACACCAATACAGGTCACTTCCTCAAAGTACCATCACCTATCCCTCATCACCTTCCCCTCATCACCTACCCCTCATCACCTATCCCCATCACCTACCCCTCATCCCCCACCCTTCATCACCTATCCCTCATCACCTACCCCTCACCACCTACCCCTCATCACCTATCCCTCATCACGTACACTTCATCACCTACACTTCATCACCTACCCTCTACCCCTCATCACCTACCCCTCATCACCTATCCCTCATCCCCCACCCCTCATCACCTATCCCTCATCACCTACCCCTCACCACCTATCCCTCATCACCTACACTTCATCACCTACCCCTCATCACCTACCCTCATCACCTACCCATCATCACCTACCCCTCATCACCTACACCTGGATCACCTACCCCTCATCCCCATCCTTCATCACTCCACCCCTCATCACCTACACCACATCACCTACCCTTTCATCACCTACCCCTCATCACCTTCACCATCACTCACCCTTCATCACCTACACCTCATCACCCACTCCATCATCACATTCCCTCATCCCCCTATCCCTCATCACCTACACCTGATCCCTATACACTTCATCACCTACCCTCTACCCCTCATCACCTATCCCTCATCACATACCCCTCATCACCTATACGTCATCACCTACCACTCATCACATACCCATCATCACCTACCCCTCATCACCTACACCTGATCACCTACCCCTCATCCCCTATCCTTCATCACCTACCCATCATCACCTACCCCTCATCACCTACACCACATCACCTACATCACCTACCCTTCATCACCTATCCCTACCCCTCATCACCTACACCTCATCACATTCCCTCATCACCTACCCCACATCCTCATCACCTACACCTCATCACCTACATCATCACCTACCCTCATCACCTACCCCTCATCCCCTCACATCACCTACCCTCATATCCTACCCCTCATCACCCACCCTACATCCCTACCCTCATATCACCTACCCTCATCACCTACCCTCATCACCTACCCCTTATCCCTACCCTCATCCCCTACACCTCATCACCTACCCTTCATCACCTACCCCTAACCCCTCACCTCCTACCCGACATCCCCTACCTGTCATCCCCTGCATTCATCCCACACCTACAAACATCTCTAACATTATTATCTAAACAACAGGTTACTAACAAAGTGCAATGGTGTCAACTATCATCACTATCTTCTCACCAGTCCCATACAAGGTAACAAGCAGTAACTTCATGTATAATTTTCCAACCAGTAAAATCAACAAAAATACAGAGAGTCTCAATCACCTTCATCATACTCATCATTTGCAACAGTCTTCAACGCAGCATATCCAATCCCGGATAGCCTGTTCCCGGTGCTTCCGTTTCGTAGTTTCCGCGACATGATGCTAGCTCACCAAGTCCTCATCCCAGTGTTGTCCTTGTCACCGAGGCCACAGATACCTGCAGTGAACACCAGCATGTGAATACATCGTGGGCAGTCTCATGTTACGCTACTTATATTCATGTATATTCCATAGATACAGCCAAGGACAGTGCCGCATTGATCTGACACGGACATCGTGTACGGCTGTTGTCACTTAACTCAGAAGATTCACACAGTGTGACAAAATTCAGTCAAGGTGACAATATTTTGTCATGGTGACAATATTCAGCCAATAAAACAATATCCACTCAAAGTGACTTTTTCCAGTCAAAATGACAAGATCCAGTTATCATGATAATATGTAGTCAATGTACCAATATCCAGTTGATGTGGCAATACTTAAAACAATTTGGATCTAATCCCCAATAACCAGTGAAGATTCAGGTTAGAATTGGTCATAAGACTGACTGACTGAGTTTAGTTTTACGCCGCTTTTAGCAATATTCCAGCAACATCACGGCGGGGGACACCAGATATTGGCTTCACACATTGTACCCATGTGAGGATTCGAACCCGGGTCTTCGGCGTGACGAGCCAACGCTTTAACCATTAGGCTACCCCACCGCCCCTGTCATAAGAGGCGACTAATGGGATCATGGGTTGCCGAAAATCAATTCTAACCCAGATCTTCGCTGTTACTATGAAACACTAAAATACCTTTAATACAGTCGGCAAAAGTGGCAGAAGGTGTATAATACAAGTACACTAGGTACATGAAGTGCAATCAGCTGATCATGACATAAACATGATAAACACCTATGGCCGCATCTCAGAATGTAATACTTATACAAAACAGCAGATCGTATCATCATGTGATATAACACTGGTACAACTGACTACATTGGCTGAGTGGGTTAGATCGCTGACTTTGTGTGCTGGCTAATAGGAGCATCACTGTGAGAGTGTGGTTCGAATCCCAGATGGGACTCAACCGAAAAAAGAACTAGAATCTGTACTTTACTTTAGTCAGAGACCATATAATAAATTTATCATATGGTCTCTGCTTTGTGTAACCCCAAAAATAACATATGTTGATGAATATAATGTTTTTTCACTGACATGACTCAAAACCTTCTTTAAAACTGTCTCACAGATGGAGTGAGTGAGTGAGTTGGTTTAATGCTGATTTGAACTGAGGCGGGGGTGGATAACTTGGAAACATGGGTACTCACACTACTAACTGGACTTGTGTTTAGTCAAATGAATGTATGATGTCTGCAAGCATACTACCAAATCTGCCATGGTTATTTTTTTTATGATTTCTTTATTTTTGTTGCATTTGTACACAGTTGCACATGTATATAATTGTCTATATAAACAATAGGTGACAAGATGACCAGAACTTAGTAAATTGGTTAAGATGTCCCTACATTTTTGCTGTGTATTTCATAAAGAAATAAAAGCATGTGAGTTCTTCCTGGATCATTTCAAAATTCATTGTTTTTTTATATGTTTTATTTTTGAAGATAAATTGTTTGCATACAATTATTAAAAGATTTATTGGTCCAAAATTTGGTAGCAGCGAGCCAAGAAGTATATCTTTCTTGTTTAGTTTAAAGGATAAATTGGCTTTCTGATTGACCCATTTTTCAAACTGTGTCCAGATGGAACTCACGTGTTTGCAATACCAGAACAGATGATCAACTGTTTCACTCTGATTATTACAATAACCACATAAATTGCTGTCTGTGTATCCCATTTTAAAGAGTAATTTCACATGACTGTGCAAAATTTGGTTTTCGTTGCAATTATTAGAGTTTGTGTTAGTGAGCAATTCATCGGTCTAAAATGAAGACAAACAGACTATACAAGTTGCTCAATATGTTTGTTTGTTGGTTATTTAACATCACACTCGGCAATATTTCCAGCTATATGGCGCTGTCTGTAAATAGTCAAGTCTGGACCAGACAATCCAGTGATCAGCATCACGAGCATCGATCTACGCAATTACAAGCATGGGTAGATGAAGACAAATCTAATACAGATCTCCATGGGTATATATCTATGACTTCATCCATCAGAAAGGTCCTTGGATATCTAAACCTGAGACACAAATAGGGATAGTTTTACTGTTGGCCACACAAGGGTTACATGATGCCTAGGTGTTCCAGATCATTTCACTCATTAAGCTTCTTGTATAGTGAGTGAGTGAGTGAGTGAGTGTTGTTTTATGCCACTTTTAGCAATATTCCAGCAACATAACAACTGGGGACACCAGAAATGGGCTTCACATATTGTACCCATGTGGGGAATCAAACCGGGATCTTTGGCGTGATGAGCAGACGCTTTAACCACTAGGCTACCCACCTCCCCATTGTATATGTGACCACATGTTAAAAGCAAACTTGTACATACCACACACCATGTTGTCCCTTCCTACCAGCACACTTCTGGCAGATGGGAATATGGAAATATTGTTGCAGGTGCGTGTGACACATGTGCATAATTATTGTTGTTAAAAGTAAAAACTTACTGAAATCAATACTCCTAGAAAAGTCAACAATACCTTTACACACAATCCTACAAAATCAATAACAGAAATTTTGTTTATAAATTCCTGGGTTAGCCAGTCCAATGCCACAGAATCAGCTGCAAATTGAGCGCAATTTATTTATTTTGTCTAACAAAACTATTTACTCAAATCAATTTATTTTAAGGTTGAGTGGGCACTAATTACTACCTTTACTGTTCGTGCCAATGCTCAAAGGTGAGTGAGTGAGGTGAAATGGGGTTTAACATCGTGCTTAAGAATATTTCGCTCATATGACGACGTGCATGCATGTGTATGTGTGGCTGCTTGTACTAGCCCAGACTTAAGCTGGTTTTATAGTGCAGTTAAGCATGAATACCCTAGACACATTATACTGACTCCGAGCGGACCAGTCCATGTTATACCCGAGTGAGTGAGTGTAGTTGTACACTGCTTTTATCATTTCTTCTCTTACGTACTTGTATTTGTATATAATACTCAACAGAAGTTCTGCAACGCTCAGGTTCTTCCTATGTAAACAGTTAATTTGTCATAACATTCACCAAACAACATCAGTTTAGTGTCACCATTTATTACTCACCCGTTGAAGATATCACTGTTTACTAATTTTACAATGTTATTTACACATTGTGTAATAGCATCGTGTGATGCCGTACGTATGACGTCAAAGTGGTTCACAGTTATAACGTCACAATGCTAATACCTCTGTCACAATAGTATTAGACCTTGCTTGACTCGCGGAAAGCTGAGTCATCACACTCGTTTGAATACTTAGGAAAGAATTACTTTGCTCGATATTATTTTGCTAATAATGGGTGATTAATAAATAAAATACTAAACGATGTCCCGTGTAATGCCATATTTATGAAACTCGTGAATGGTATTGGTATCTAACAAGCGAAACCATTCACTCGTTTCATAAATATGGTATTACATGGGACATCGTTTAGTATTCTCAATGTACACCATGTATTTCCAGACAAGAGAGGCGGCAGTGAAGCCTAGTGGTTAAAGCTGTCACTCATCATGTACAAGATTTGGTTTGACTACCTGCATGAGTCCAAGTGTAAAACCCATTTCCTGAGTCCCCTGTCATGATTTTGCTAAAAGTGGTGTAAAACCAAATTCACTCATCTACAGACAACATATATCCCTGCACATATGTCCTTATATGTTTACATGATGTAATACAACACCCAAACTCACTATAATCCATCAAACAAAATGCTTAGGCCAGACCAATTTTATTTCTTGTTTTATGGATCCGCCGGTCAAATTTTTTCAATAATAAGAAAAAAATAAAATTAATTTTCCCTGCTCAAAAAATAAAATCCTCCTGTTCTCATTGGCCAAAATGTAAACTTACAAAACCATTTTGTTTTCATTGTTCTTTGCCCCATAAACACTTCATAAATTGCCAAAATAAAATACTTTTAGTATTCAAAAGGAATATTACTTTGACTGGTGATTTTTATTTTTTTTAATTTTTTTCCCTCCTGCCTTTAGGTTTTCTGAGTACCAAAAATCTGTAAAACAAGAAATATAATTGGTCTGGCCTTAAGAGGAATCACATCTGTCAACCTATCATCATGTTTTCATAAAAATGAAACATGATATTTCCCCTTTCTCACTATGCTCATTGGTAAATAATTCATTTATTTATTATAATTTATATTTTTATCAAAATCTTTATTATTTGCAGATCCTTCACCATGAAATTATGTAAATATTCCTTTTGTTCACAGAATGAAACTCAGGGGGATTATGGGTGAAAATTAAGGTGCAACTAGAGGTGTGATGAAACAGAAGTTTCACGATACAATACATATTGCGATATCTTGGAACAATACGATTTGATGCATATCACGTGATGCTATCTTTATATATTTTCTTTAAAAAATTATTTTTATAGCAAGTAATAGTGTAAAGTTTGACATAACCATCAATTTCTAGTGAAAATTAACAATTTTAAGGTCAACGATACATATCACGATGTATTTATCGTCAGATATCGTATCATGATTATCGATACTACGATATATCGTCACAGCTCTACCAACAACCCATGCCAAAGGTGATGAAATGGATCAGGTGGTCAGGCCGGGGGAGTAAACTGATGCATATCATTGTATACCATTTGGGCGGAGCGATATATATGATATCAATATTTATGAAATAAATCAATAAATTGTCTGTTCCAGACCCCTATCCTTCAGCTGACAAAGATCGATTGTATTCAATGAGTTTAACACCATAGTTTGAAGGGAAGAGATCAATGTCACGATATCCAGGCTGCACCAGTGGAGGTAAAGTATTGCTAGCATAGGTAACTTTATTCTCAGGTTTCTACCAATAATGCATGGCAGCAGTTTTAATACTATAATTTCCCATATTAAACAAGCCTGTATCATGTATCATGCGAAGTAAAAACTGAAAACAAGTCTGCTTTCATATGGTCTTCGGTTACATTGGCGACAGTGTTCAAGCAAAAAAATGAAATTGATGAATGAAAAGTCAGTTAAAAAGTAACCATCAGACAAAATATCCCTCAAGACGATGTTCTGACAGCAGTTATGGAACTTGGCTTGAGTATCCATCTGAGTCTCCTGATAAGGAAATGTCTGCTGTTGGTCACAGCAATATGTTGATAACATTGACAGCTAATATATTTTGCTGACGCAACCTTATTGATGCACTTGGTTGCACCTGGTGCAACTAGAGAAAAAAAATGAAATTGTACCCTTGTCTGCAGTCTCAGCTGTTCCAGTTCAGGATTGATAAAACAGGACACAGCTTCAGGATCACAAACTGTGTCACAGTGAATATTGACTGCTTATAACAGAACTGTAGTTGTCTTTGATTCTGGTCACAGATGAGGAATCATTCACCATTGTTCACACAAACATGACACAGCTGTTATGGAGATAATCAGATTGCCTGAACAGTCAGCAGTAGAAACTAACACTGACTGACTGAGTTTGGTTTTACGCCGCTTTTAGCAATATTCCAGCAACAACACGGCGGGGGACACCAGAAATGGGCTTCACACATTGTACCCATGTGGGGATTCGAACCCAGGTCTTCGGCGTGACGAGCCAATGCTTTAACCACTAGGCTACCCCACCACCCAGAAACTAACATCTGCAGGCTACTGTTCCATATACTGATAGAGAGTAAGTTTAGTTTTACGCCGCCTTTAGCAATATTCCAGCAATATCCAGCGTGGGACACCAGAAATTGGCTTCACACATTATACCCATATGGGGAATCGAACCCGGGTTTTCAGCATGACGAGCGAACACTTTAACCACAAGGCTACCACACCACCTAAAATGCTGGACTACATGAATATTCAACTCAAAAAAAGTAAAGGAAGACCCATGTTTGTATTATTATAGTTAATCTGTCATAACTGTTATTTAAAGAATGAGTGAGTGAGTGGGGTTTTACGCCACTATTAGCAGTATTCCAGCAATATCACGGTTGGGGACACCAGAAATGGACTTCACACAATGTACCCATGTGGGGAATCGAACCTGGGTTTTTGGCGTGACGAGCGAACGCTTTAATCACAAGGCTACCCCTACACCCCTGTTATTTAAAGAACATCAGGTTTTAGAGATAGTGGTTCGACCACAGACAATGTTTTCATACTTATGTGAATATTTAAAATGCATGCAATGAAAAGTAAGAAATGTTTGTGCAACTGTTGCAGATTTTAACAGTTTTTTGATTCTCTCAACAGAAATAATATGTGGTCATTGGCATTAGCAACAAAATGTGTAAATTATCATGCAATATTCAACAAAATATCTATCAAAGTGTTAATTTATGTGTCACTAGCTGTGGATTATTATCCTGGTTGTACACGTCAGATGGGAATTTGCCAAGACTGTTCTCTTAGTTCCTTCATTTTCCAATTTTATACCAACAAACTAGTTGCACAAATTAGGAATAATTGTATGTATGATACACAGCTTGACCCAGATAACATTTTTCTGCTTCTTTTAGCTGATGAAATAGTTTTGTTCTCTAGTACTTTAAATTTCATAATCTTATCAACTGGAACTTTACTGTTCTATCTATAAATTAAAAAAATGAAAAGATGGAAAGAAGGGAAACAAACCATTCTGGAGGAGAACATTGTTCTTTAACACAACACAGTAAGAAACGGTCACTTCCTATAAATATTTTGGTTACTTTCCATTTACAAAGCTATAATCATCTCTGTGAAAAGATTCAGAATAGCAGAATCGCAACTTGACTTATAATCAATGTTGGCATACACAGAAACAAAGCTAGAGAATTGAGAATTTGTGAGCAATGTGATTTAAGCTGAGTTTCACTTCCTGTTGATTTATCCAAAATACATCTGAGAAGAAAATATTAAGAATTGCCTTTCTACATGAAGATCCCACTGAGAGAGTTGTCAACAACTAATAATTCCACTACTTAAAACTGACAATGTATTTTTTTAAAGGTATATTATTTAGAATGTGAATTGTTAAAGATATAATTCTACTATAAGGAATTGTTACCTTACAGTGTGATTGAAATAAATTTACCTGTGCTAGTTCCATGCAGAAATGGGGAAGGGGTGGTTTTAATTGGGGGCTTATTCTGTTTGACATTTGAACGTTTCTGTGTATAGCACGTTCAAGATGATACTGGTTTGTATTGGGGTTTTTTTATCGACTACTCGAATCGATCAGTAGTTGGGGTAAAAAAAGCAGGTAATAGATCAAGAGCTTATGAGCAATCATCCACAGCTGTTACGACCTAAATCTGTTACTTCACAGCGACCGACCAAGGAATGGATTTCCCATATGTTTCAGGAACACCTGTGAGAATCACGGATGACTGTTTTCACGTGCAGGGCTTCCCCAACCCGTAGCGATAACGGTAAGACCCCGCCCATGCCATGCTGTAGTGTGTTTTATAGTTCTGTCTGCTGATCCCACAAATAGTAACAGATAATATACCCGTGTGTTCACCTGGTCTGAGAGTCCGGCACCGATGTTGATTAAATTCTTTCAAAGCTGTTTGCTTTCGTGGCAATGATAAGGTACGTGTTTTGAGATATAAATAGCTCACCCGGTCACGTGACTTACAGGTTGAGATGTCACGCATGACGGTCTCGCGTGAATTTCTCATGATCTGTGGACAGACAGGTGCGTGAACAGTGACTAGCGAAATACCTCCGCCGTGTCGAGGCGACATATATATATTTTTTTGTGAAAAATTATACTCATTAGTGTCAGCCAACATGCGATAAAAAATATGGAATCAAAACAGTTTGACACGTCACGCTTACCTGGAGCCCTGTTCAAGGTTGATTAGAGTAAACATGAATCGTTTGCTTGATACGCGTAACAAGAAATCTGGTTGTAGACAAGACATGTATGGTTGATTGAAATGAACTCTATGAAAGGAGTTTACTACAACAACAACTACTACTACTACTACTACTACTACTACTACTACTACTACTACTATGAGCGAAATATTCTCAAGCACGACGTTATTTTAAACCCAATTCCACCATCACCACTACTACTACTTCTACTACTACTACTACACATGTAAGGTGGTGAAAGTATAGTAGAAGTAATGGTTGTAGTATAGTAGTCGTAGTTGTTGGTGTTGTTGTTGTAGTAGTAGTAGTAGTAGTAGTAGTAGTAGTAGTAGTAGTAGTAGTAGTAGTAGTAGTAGTAGTAGTAGTAGTAGTAGTAGTAGTAGTATAGTAGTAGTAGTAGTAGTATGGTGCTGTCAACACTAAAACATAATCGGGGCGAAATAAGATTAGAACCCGAGACCATATTTTTCTGACACACCCAAGAAGTGTTTTTTCCCCCGAAAAATGAATAATGAAATCCACAGTTTAGTGAAAAGACAAAACCAATTGAAATAGGTATTATTCAAGGACTCAGGAGTTTTATTCTCTCATGCCATCAAGCCAGAGTTACAAAAACTGGGCATGCTAAAGATGCAAATTGCGTATAAGCGATGGAGTTGGACTGGCGCTTGGTCTCTGAATATATGTAATTTTGATAGAAACAATAAACCATTAAAATAGAAAGGAGCCCCAGTGAGATGGGAGATTCAATACCTGATAATCTAGACTTGCTTCATTTGGGGCTGTCATATTACAGAAAGGGTTGGATAGAAGCGAAAATAATGTGGTTCAGGGGCTGTGAGACAGACAAGTCGAAGGAGTAAACAATACAGGGCCTTAGCATCAGGAGAGTGTATTTCTTCCCTGTTAAAAGGGTTCCATTTTAGTAGATTCAGAATCTCCGATCCACAAAGCATAGGAACGTTACGACATGCTACGAGAAAAGATAGTTTACCATAGGCTTACGAAAAACGGTCCCAGGCATTTAGCATCAGGAGAGTGTATTTCTTCCCTGTTAAAAGGGTTCCATAGTAACCAGGGTCATAATCCACTAAGCGTTCCTTGCACAATGTCATTCGTATACCAATGATATAGCATTGAGTTACGACAGGTCGTAACGTTACGAACACTTCGTGGATCGGGACCTAGATCCTCTGTCCGGAGACCGGAAGGTCCGTGGTTCGATCCCCGACCCAGCATACTAAAGACGGTGAAAGGCGGTGTACATGTTACAGTGCCTGGAGTCTGGCATCAAGGGGGTAAAACACAGAATAACCTGCCAGGAGACAAAACAAACTCTATCTGACTTAGAAATCCTTGTGTAAGTGCGGCATTTGTGAGCTAAAATTAGTCGTTCGGACTGGTAGTCGGTCTTACAGACAGTGAAACAAATATATCATCACAGTCTATAATGGTTGGCAAGCCTAGATTGATGTAGTTTCTCCGCTTTTTATTGTATTTTATCAAAATATTTAAGGAATTATTTTTTCTGTAAAATATCTTCACTTCAGGGACTACATGTTAGTCTAGAGGACTTGACACACACACATACACACACACGCGCGCTCGCGCTCGCGCACACGCACACGCACGCACGCACGCACGCACGACGCACTCGCACACATATGCCGGTCGTAGGCGCCGTTGGGTTGGGAAATGGTTAAAGCCTCCGTTCGTCACGCCGAAGACCAGAAGGACCACATGGGTACAATGGGTACATGGGTACACTCACTCACTCACTCACTTTAGATGTGGTATAATTGACGACGACACAATGTGTTCAGCCTTAAATTGGTCTAACTGTCAAGGTAGTCATATGTCATCTTCTTTTGACAAGGGGGTGATATTTAAATTTACTACAACCTTTTCTATGTGGAGTTGAAACTCGTTTTAATGAACAATGTGTGAAGCCCATTTCTGGTGTCCTCCGCCGTGATATTGCTGGAATATTGCTAAAAGCGCCATAAAACGGTATTCATTCACTCTGCCGTTTGTTATAGAGGAGGTTAATGTATCGTGTGGCGAAGCTTGGCAATTTGGTTGACAGCGTGTCATCGTTATCTGACAGAGCAGACGGTTGTTCATTATATCAATCACTGGTTTGTCAAGCCCAGATTTGATATACAAACAAACGTCATACAGCTAAAATATTTCTGTTTACGGCTTTAAACAAACACACACATAGTAGTGCGTATTATATACGATTACATGAGTATATGATATGTATCATAAAGAGGATCAGGTTATCGGTGCGATCAACTGATCCGATAATTATGCAAATGAGGTCACCTGCCGAGAACTACCTTCAATCTCCATACACTGATTCAATGTCTGTTAGCTCAATTGACTTTAGACTAACCTGAACAATTAATTTTAATAATCGATCTCCAAGGTGTGGGTTACATGAATAGACAAACATGGCTGTGAATCATAATCCACTATATCATAAATGGGGCGGTTTACCCAGACACCGTATTCATACGCGGTTTCTAAAGTTACTTCTATGAAAGAAAAGATAGACTGATCATTGCAAGAATAACATTGTATCATAAAGAGATTACTCTGTGTTTCCGTACGGTGAATATTCAATATAAAGCATAAAAATGTGTAATAACTTCGTTCCCATAATGCAGCTTTTATTCCTAATATACGATATTTACTATAGAGAAACACAGCCCGCTAATACTATCTCCAATACTGATTCCAGCATAATATCCACTTGATATCGACACAATACATAAATATAGTGTGTATAACATTGCATTGATAACTCGTATATCAACCAGTATTGACAACAGGGTGAATGTAGGTTGTAGATGTGCTATATGAGATTCATGTTTTCACCAGTAAGCCGGTGAAACTCGCTGGGTGAAAACGACGGCATCTCATTATTATTCCGAGTCATTCATACAAAGATCCATTGTGTCAAAACGTGCTACCAATATGCGGCATTAATGCATGGTTCAATGATATTCACAGATAATAACTGGATTATCAGCTATGTTAGTTATAAACACCTCCAACCATACACTTCCCCCAAAGCTGTGTGAGTATTCTTCAGACAAGGACAAGATCGACAGTTTTTGCAATGGCGATATTTTCAGAATTATTTTATTGTCAAATATATATGCGTTGTATATACCAAAGTCAAATGTGAAAGTTGAAAACAGATTTATTATAATATCCTGCGTGACAACGGTTCAAGAATCTGTATGGAAACGTCGCTGTCACGAAATAAAGAAGTTGTATTCCATAAAGTTTGTCTATATTGTACTTCCCAACTTCTAAAATGGCACTCGAAAAAGTTATAGATTTATTATAAAGATATGTGTTATGTTCTTTAAAGGAAGGCTGTTCATAAACGTAAGATTTGGAATTATATATTATGGCCTCTATTCCATTCCCTAAATGGATAGATAACTCCACCTCCATAACTGGCCACATAGGGTCCTACACATCCAAATGTTCCTCTTCCTCAGCCTGGCAGTTCCAGATATGTTTACAGAGCCAAGACCGCGTTCTGAGAAAAATGAAGACCATTGCATTTCATTTTGAGTGAGTTTGGTTTTAGGCCGTTTTTAGCAATATTCCAGCAATACCACGGCGGGGGACACCAGAAATGGGCTTCACACATTGTATCCATGCGGGAATCGAACCTGATCTTCACCGTGACGAGCGAACGCTTTAACCACTAGGCTACCTCACCATCCCCATTTCATTTTGAAACAAACAGGGTTGTTTTATGCTGTGTGCCTGCCATGGCATCTTTCTGGCTTTTATCAAGTCACATCATTATTCCAGTTTTGATGCCTAGAACAACCCTGTTTTAGTTGCCAACTTCCATACAAAATACCAGCTGAAACCATCATTTTGGGGAAAATGGTAAAATGGGACATTATATCACCTCGCCTTTGTTGCCAGGTGAGCTAAAAAGAAACGAATCTGTCAAAACCTCCATGTAGCAAAAGCAAGTGACATTTCGGCAGGGAAGCTGTTTATGGGAAGTATTGTATTGCTTAATTCAATTTTACATTTAAATCATTTCAATATATAAAAAAATCCAAATATACAAAAAGTTGTAGATTAACCGTTAAAAATACTGCATAATATTACACGGCGATTGATCTATGTGTGCATAATGTGAATAATGAATAGTAAACAATGGTCACTGTGTGTATAAAATATGGCCACCGATCTCGTATACAATTGTAATTCCATCGTTGATGCGAGCATACAGTAATTAAAATATGCGGTCACCGAACCGTTTCATTCAGCTGAACTGAAGAAAATATCACGGACGCGATGGACTCTACCGTATTGACTGTATTAAGAGCTCAGAGCATGGCGGGCGGTGGGGTAGCCTAGTGGTTAAAGCGTTCGCTCGTCACGCCGAAGACCCGGGTTCGATTCCCCACATGGGTACAATATGTGAAGCCTATTTCTGGTGTTCCCCGCCGTGATATTGCTGGAATATTGCTAAAAGCGGCGTAAAACCCAACTCACTCACTCACTCTGAGCATGGCGCCCCTGTTGCCTAAGGCGTCGCAGTTCGCTCTGCAGAGTTGCCTCCCTTGTACACACCATAAACCTGTGATCGTGGGTTCGAATCTCAGTTCGACCCGATCTTGTTTCCAGGATTGTCGGCACCGTTCCAATGCACGTGGGCTTGACCTGCATCTCTGCGGGCTTATCTCGCACTTTTAGTTGAGTGATATATCTGGATTATTGTTCAAAGCAACTTTAAAACCGAATTCACTCATTGTTAAAAGCTAATCCTTATTTACTACCTTTCAATTCTGGATCTTTTCCTTTAGCATTTCCTCATACAATAAGAAAGTAATGTAAACCATATGATATTAAGATGTAACAGGGAGAAAAACTGTCCTCAAAAGAGGAAGTACGGTAATTGATATCGTCAACACAACAGAGTGCTGCATTTGCCAACCTTCGGTAATAATATTTTCTGTTTTACATAGTCGGATATCTCGAACTTATACTCCGGTCTAAGACAGTACGTTTACCCGTTATTCTCGAATTCAAGAGGAGCATATACCTTGGAAACCTTTTCATTAATATTTTATAGTGAAACTTCGCATAATTATATGTTTTGATCGTTCTACGAAAATATGTTGTGTTATTGTGTTGTTGATGATTTTGAGGGGGGGTCACCCATTTTGTTCTGGGGAGGCAGGGGCGGATGGTCATCAATTTTGTACACATGTGCTATTCAGCAATTTTGTACACACAAATTAAATATTCAAAAATATGCTTAACAATTATGGGAGGGGGGTAGGTGTCATTGATTTTGTACATGACATGCAGGGCGGGGTCACTTACTTTGTACATACTTTTTTTGTTGGGGGGGGGGTCATTCACATTGTACATGCTTTACCATTAAAATCATCACCATCCCCCTTGCCATAAATTATGAACAGTCCCTAATATAGCAATTATTAACTGGAGTTTACTTTACGTCTGCATAATATTTCTATATTTTTTATGAGCTCTAGTGTAATTCAAACGAAAATGTGATATCAACAATTTATGTGAAACAACATGAACCACTTCGTTAAAGAATCGCCATACTTGTATCGTCTGCTAGCGAACACCTGTCAGTAGAGTTGTCTCCTCTTGTTCATTTAAGAACCAATCAAATGAAGAGAAATACGTCAAGCCCGGTCCGATTCAGCATGGTTACAGGACGCTATTCAAGTTCCAGCTGACGTTGAGAAGTTTCCTCGGAAAGATATTATCGGACAACATGGGTTCTTATCGGATATTACATACTGTGTAACATGAGGTACAAGTCATTCAAGTTAATATTTTCACATCTGTCACTGTTCCTATTCTGAGTTTCAATTTTTGAAGTGTAAATTTAGGTTTTGAAACTTCAAACAGTGCCTCAGTTGACGGGTTTGATCCGGTGGACAAGCGAATGTAATGACAGCATACGCCGGAGCGGGTATACTAAGTGATTAGGAAAATTCTTCTAATTTACAAATAATTTTTTGAGAATTTTTTAGAACATGGGTGTATTGCTTAAATAACTGAGCCTTTTTTCAGTTTCTGTCAGAATATTCTGGACAAATTCAAAACCATAAAACACATTCTTAATTGCCTTGAACTTTTCACTAGCCAAGTCACTTGGCAAAGTACTACTTCTGAAATCTGGTCATAAGACTCTTTCCTTGTAAGTATGGCTTTGTGTTTTAATCTTTGAGTTGTACTAATTTTATGCAAATTTGATTCAGTATTGTTTACATGAAACATGAGTAGAAATCTACATCATTGTGTACTTATGTATTATCGCATTATCTTTAATGTAAAAACTACAGCTCTGTTGAGTGGGATTTTCATTATGCATTCAGACAGTATTTTTGTTTTGTTTTTTGTTCTCAAGCAAAGACATTTCTAAAATATTTTTTTATTTGTAAGCAATAAGAATATAGCAGAAGTATGCAAATTAGTCCTGTTATAACATTATCTGGTGGTATGAAGTGTCTGTTTTACTCATATATTTATGTTTTTAATTCCAATTCACTATTTTCTTTACTTTCAAGTTGCATTTGATATTTGATAGTATAAAAATTATTCTATGTTTTCACAAGTCCAAAAATGATCTGCTATAAAGTTAGTTGATATGCTCCTCAAGTTTGTCCGTTTTTTACAGGTCCAGACCCCGGCTTGTTTTACTGCCTCGTCACTCTTAAACAATTTGTTCAACTGATGCAGGTTTTTGTTTATTTACTTATATGACATCATGTAATTTCTACACAATAACATTATACTGTTACACTATGACTTCTGAACAAACCAGTCCACCATCTTCCAAATGTTGAATGTGGTGTTCCACAAGGAAATACCACCAGTCTTTCATGAATTATTAGTCTTGGACTTGTAGATTTATTTTAGTTTCAAATCATGGGCCCAATGTTAAAAAGATTTTTCGGTCGACAAAAATAGAAATAATGAAAGACACAGCTCCAGATAAGATTTAGCTCATGTGGGTACTGTACCCACTGTATTTTTTTTGGAGTGGGTATTATGAATGTTGAGTGGGTATTTCATTTTCCGTTACCCACTGCTTTCAAATATGTGCGTATTTCAGTCATTTTACTCACCTAAGTATTACCTCATTGAGTAAGATTACTAAGCAGGTATGTTCTGTCATACCTAATCAAAACCAACTTAAATAGTATGGAAATGATTTCATAAAAAATCACTCATCCTATACTAACTGCACAACACTAGTCCTAAACAGTACAACTTGATAACAATCGATGTCTTTTTCATTACGCAAGCAATTTTTATAAATATATTCCGTACGCATTTGTTTTAAACATTTTGTGTATCTAACATTTAAATGCGTAATTGGTACGCAACAATTATTTTTCAATGCGTAAATTGAAATTTTCTACGCATATTTTACCCAGATATGCAGCTTATCTGGGCCTCTGGAAAGAAATGTCTCTTATGTTATTAACATCATAATATTATTTTATGTTTGGTTCAGCAAGTATCAAATCAAAATTACAAATGCACATATTCATCAATATATTTCTGTTTCCAGCTGACTGATGATCACCACTATGTCTCGAACAGGAAATAAAGGAAAGTCAACGCGACCTCTCGGATCACTCCGACACAATATCTCAGCACCAGACAAAGTACCGCATATTCCTCGACTGTTAAATAAGATAGATGGGACATATCAGGGTATCCAAGGCAACGCAATGTCTGTACCCCCACCGACATCGCGGGAATCCACACAGAGGGAGAGTGCAGGAGATGCAGACAAGGGGAAGAATTCTGCCCGGTCTACTGGATCATCTAGTGTCAAGTCACAGGACCTTGTGGATAGAAAGGAACTGAAAGATGCTTTGGTAAGTTCTGAAATTATTATAGATGCATCACAGGATGAAACATAGGATAGATTTTGATAAATACCTGTACCGATTCTCTACCATAGATTAGAGATTTAGTTAATATATATTGGAGAAGGAAATATAGAAAGTCTGGAAGAAATCAACACATTTCAGATGTAAGCTGAGATGTGACACTTTTATGGATGGTTTACTAGCAAAAACAGCATTCAGAACATGATTTAGAAGCAGCCTATGAATACAGGGGTGGAAATAACTTTAAAATTGCTAGTGTACTCCGGTACAGCGGCACATGTAAAATCACTTGCCCTGATAATTTTTCCACTATCCGTTTTCTTGTTGATTTTTTTAATAAACAACATAATTAACATTTGAAAGTCAACTGGACACCGGTACAGTGTGATATACAAATTTGCTTGCCCGACAGAAAAAAACACTGGACTCGGACGTCAGGCAATGGGTTATTTCCACCCCTGGAATATAGATGTAACTTTGTGCACTGTGTGTGTGAATGAAAACTTTATTTCATCTCAATAGTGTATGAAAGAAATTTTCAATGGCACAATTTTCATACCAATAATTGTTAATATTTCTTCCCATCGGTGATATTGGAGATCTGGAGATATTGCTGTAACTTTCCAAAACCAAACATCAGTGATGACTGGGTGGAGGTTATTTACCGTTATTGAATGGAGACTGTGGATATTGAAAGATTAGGATGAATGTCAGTGTTGAATCTTGAGCTGGGAGGATGCATACATTCTGTAGACTGTCAAATGTCCACTTTCTAGAATGATTCAGATTAATTTTCTTAGCACCTGGATTCAGGAACAAAGTGAAACCTGTATAGAATATTCCCAGATTATGGTATTATACAGATTTTGGTTTACATACCATGGCACATGAAAGAACAGGATTTATGAAGTATCACCAACAAAATGTATATTGTATTATTACCTTCTTGTCTTTTTGCATTTGAAACTGCCCATTGATATTTGGTTTTCTAAAAACAAGAACATATTATGCTACTCTAAATGATTCACTTGTTGTAGGAGTTGTTGACAACTTGTTTGTGAAAGAAGCAGAGAGAAAAGTACTAAGATCATGTCTTTTTTGCTCTGTGTGTGTATTTTTAGGCAAGAGAGAAAGAGCTGAAGCTGATGATTGCAGATCTAGAAAAAATCATTGAGGAGTTACGGGCCCTACTGGCCTTGAGAGACCAGGAGATAGCTGACCTTCAGGACAACATCCGGATACAGGTTAGACCTCATAAGAAGATGTTGCATTGTTGGGGTCCACAGTTGTCAGAATTGTTTATTAGTTTTCCTTCCATCTTTTTTCCTATCTTACTGAAAGTGAGATTGAAATATATTTTAACCATTTTAAAAATAATTCTCTTTCTGCACAAGTTTGACATGCATGACCTTATAGCAGCAACCTTGGATGGGGTGTAACCACAATGTTGATTTAGTTGCGGCTTCTCTGATGGCTCTTATTGTCCCCCACCGCAACGCAGAACGGGGGACTATGTATTCAGCGGCATCCGTATGCGTCCATACGTCCTGATTCTTGTTATCGTGATATCTTGTACCCAATGTCTTCAAATGTGGTGACAGCCTACATTGGGGGATTACGCAGACACCAGTCGATTTGGGTGACCTTGACCTTATCTTCAAGGTCACCATGTCACTTTGAACACTTTTCAAACTCTTGTTAACACGATATCTCATGGACTGTTGTACCCAATGTCTTCAAATTTGGTGACAGCCTACATTGGGGGATTACGCAGACGCCAGTTGATTTGGGTGACCTTGACCTTATCTTCAAGGTCACCACGACACTTTGACCACTTTTCAAACTCTTGTTAACGCGATATCTCATGGACTGTTGTACCCATGTCTTCAAATTTGGTGACAGCCTACATTGGGGGATTACACAGACACCAGTTGATTTGGGTGACCTTGACCTTATCTTCAAGGTCACCATGACACTTTGAACACTTTTCAAACTCTTGTTAACACGACATCTCATGGACTGTTGTACCCAATGTCTTCAAATTTGGTGACAGCCTACATTGGGGATTACACAGACACCAGTTGATTTGGGTGACCTTGACCTTATCTTCAAGGTCACCATGACACTTTGACCACTTTTCAAACTCTTGTTAACGCGATATCTCATGAACTGTTGTACCCAATGTCTTCAAATTTGGTGACAGCCTACATTGGGGGATTACCCAGACACCAGTCGATTTGGGTGACCTTGACCTTATCTTCAAGGTCACCATGACACTTTGACCACTTTTCAAACTCTTGTTAACAAGATATCTCATGGACTGTTGTACCCAATGTCTTCAAATTTAGTGACAGCCTACATTGGGTGATTACGCAGACACCAGTTGATTTGGGTGACCTTGACCTTATCTTCAAGGTCACCACAACACTTTGACCACTTTTCAAACTCTTGTTAACACGTTATTTCATAAAACATTGCACCCAATGTTTTCAATTATATCGACAGCCTACATTGGGTCATTATGCAGACACCAGTCATTTCAGGCATCTTGTATGTGACCAAAAAATAAAATATTGTAAATAGAGATATTCCATTCTTAAGCGGCGGGGGACATTGCCATATCAGTGGCAAACACTTGTGATATCTGATATTAGTCCTGACATGTTTTGGCAGAGAAAGAATGGTTTGAAATGAAATGACAAGGGTGAAAACTAGTCCTTCATATTGACCAGTGTACACTCTTTCCTTAAGAAGATGATTTTCAGTGAAACAAAGGTGTTGCTTACTTGTTCAGGGGGAAGAGCACAAGGCTGTCTTGCAGAAAGAGAAAAGTAAACATGCAGACACTCAGGCACTCCTGGAGGAAACTCGCTCAGAACTGGAGGATGAACAGAAACGGCTAGATGCAATACGCAAAGACATGTCCCGCAAACTCAGTGAACAGAAGACAGAGGTGAGGATGTGGCTCTCACATCTGTGCCATCATATTATTAATGCATATAAATATTTTGCTGTGTCCACTCCCTATTAACCTGGTCAGTGGATCAGTGTTCATTTCAATTGCTTTCTCAGCTCCCTGGGAGGTATCCAGTTAATCTAACTGTCAGGCTAGTTCTGTCAGACTTTGGGATAGATAGTGATTATTAGTAGTGTGGCATATTTAGTGAAGGGCTATAGATAATGAAACACTTCAGAAATACAATTGTCTGACAACAGCATGGAAGGCTGCTTATGTACCGGTAATCTACCACTGAATTTTCTGGGCAAGATTTTGTTATTTAAATACTATAGTGTTATAACTTCTTTGAGTGGTATTTTAGAAAATATGACATACAATACTAAACAAACTTTATGGGTAGCAACTTCTTTTATTTTCGTGAGTGTGACGTTTCGATGTAGGTTCTTTTACTATTGTCAAGCAGGAATGACAATGGTATGAGAATCTGTATCAAAACATCGCACTCATGAAATAAAATAAGTTGTTATCCATAAAGTTTGTTCAATATCGTAATGTTACAGCTGGAATACTGTCGACTGCAGCCTAAGGTATCATTCACTTGTATCAAGGTATTACTGTTATGGACAATTTATTTTATGGTGTGATCTGTCACAGCTGGAGATAAAGTATGCAGAGATGTTATCTGAAAAAGACAAGGAGATCTCAATACGTGATGTCAAACTCAACAGGCTGAAGCAGCAGATGGCTGACGCTCTGAAGGGGAACTCCTGGTAAGTGAAGTGGACAGGGAGAGGTGAAATGGACAGGGGGTTGGGGTGAAACGGACAGAGAAGTGTCAGGTGGATTGGGACAGTTGGGTTGGGAGGGGTTGGGTTGGGTTGATGGGGAGGAGTCACATGGACATAAGGGGTCAAATGAATAGGTAGGTTAGATGAACTGGGTGGGAAGAGTCAGGTGGACGGGAAGGGACACATTTGTGAGAAGGTTCTGGAGGAGAGGGAGGGGTCACATGGACATGCATGGTCAAATGAACAGGGAGGGGTGTAATGGACAGAGAAGAATCATATGGACAAGAAGGATCGGATGTATTGGAAAGGTCAGGTTGACAGGAAGGGATCAGGTTTACCTTCAAGGTGTGAGAGTTGTCAGATGACAAAGGAAGGAATTCTTGACATTGAAGACTAATGCTGAAGGGGTCGTTGTCAGCACAGGTACTACAGAAATGTACCACAGACACCTTTCTGTATACAGAAAGGTACCCTAGCCAAAGTTAATGTACAGAATCGTACCCTAGGACGATCCCATTCTGCATCGCGATGAGCGCTAAACCAGTTTCTCGAACGCGTACTAAAAATTATTCCTGCCTGTCAAACCGCAGAAATATTCAACATGGCAGTGCGTGTTCGTCAGGAAGAACTATATACCTTCCTTCCGCTGTCAGTTATAAAATATCAGACAATCGATTTTTCTAGAGCATGACGTCCCCTGTAGTCCGTTTTACAGAAACTTGAAAGCTGTCTACAATGGGGGTGACATACTTCGTACATATCCAGCACTGTTCTCTCAGGAGCGAAACTTTTTAAGTTTTGGGTGTCCTGAAAGGGCCGTTTCCAAATCGTTCCCACCAACAGCTCTCGTAAATGAACATGGGAAATCGTCATCATCTTCTTGATCGGAACTCTCATACTGTCATATGAGCTCCATATTCGATTGCGTTAGAATACAAAGTGAACACTCGGCGATGCAGTGAAAGCGCTCGAAATCAGGCGATCTGGAACAACACCACAAACCGGTTTCGGTTTCGGCTTGAGAAATGTGGACTCCTCTGCCGTTTAGGGTACCTGGTACGTTTCTGTACATTAACTTTGGCTAGGGTACATTTCTGTATACAGAAAGGTACCTGGGGTACATTTCTGTAGTACCTGTGCCGACAACGACCCCTTCAGCAAGACTAATAGTATACCATCATTACATTGGCAACTAGATCCCAATCACCATGGCAATATTACATCTCTTTGTAGGGAACGGCAACAACAGCTCGAGGAGCTGACCAAGGAACTAGCACGTATTCAGGATGAAGCTGACCTCCTCCGGATGAAACTCAAGGCTTATGCAAAGAACAAAACAGTAATGTATTATTGCCCCACTATAAATGAAAGGAGCATATTCTGCAATTTGACTTGTTGAAAGTTCTTAAATAGGATTTCTAAACCAGAATTCTTCTCATCCTCTATATCGCCAGGGCTCGCGTGTCAATAAACCTGCACTTCATCTTGGATCTATTCACTTGGTTCTTGCTATCTTAAATTACATGTCTATATATTTCCAATAACAGATTACCAGCCGATCAAACGTTAAGATAAGGAGAAAAGAAAAGGAGAGAACTCATATGTCCATATTTTTTATATTACCCACCCAACTTGCATTCTGATTGATACGATAGGCTCAGCATTGTAGCAAATCAAGGGCAGGTAATTTGCAATTACCCATACAAGCACCAAGTGAATGGATCTAGTGGTTAGTGCTGGTTTTTCCAAAATGCAAACCCTTGAAATATTCTTTACTGTGTTATGAATACTTTCTTGATAGTATGGATATCACAGTTGTCAATCATTTGATCAATATTTACCAAAAGTTGTTCTGATTTTGATGGTTGTTAACTGCAACCAGGTTGCTGTTGTGCAAAGTAATCTTAGCTAAGGTTTGTTTGTACAACAGCCCCCGTGCATTTTAACATGACAGTTGTTACTAATACTGCTGCTACTGTTACCGCAACTGATGCTGCTGTTACAATGACTTCTTCTACTACTGCTGCCACAGCATCTACTCCAGCAGTGGATGGTGTAGTTACCAGCCTGATCCCAACATGCTAGGTAGGTAGATAAGGTTTTAGGGCGACCTTGGGCCTTAAAAGGCCTCTATGCGCCCAAATCCCAACATGGTAGTGTACAGTGTGTTATCTCCCTTGACAGGGAAGCTGCTCAAACTGCCCTGATATGATGGCCAAGCTGGACCGTGCCCACCTGATGGTGAAGGACAGAGATCACACTGTGAAGGAGCTGAAAGCTGTGTGCAGCAAGCTGGAGAAACAGCTAACTCAGCAAGACCAGCTACTTAAGTCCTGGGCGGACAGCAAGGGCTACAAGGCCGTGCCTCCAAAATGACCAACACTGAACACGTGATTTTCAACAGGAACACTTTGTCAGGGTTTGGTGCATGGCTGACAAATTCGGAGCTTATTTTGTGCCAATTGGATAGACAATCTGACAGCATACATGCACCAAAGGGTATTACTTACATATAAATATCAATATCATATCATCATATAGACATGGTATGGAGATATTTATTGAGACATGATATTTCTTACTGATAATTGTTTGAGAAAAGTTCAGTTGGCTGTCTGCTGTCTTCACAACTCCATTTCTGTCTGAACAGACAGAAGAAAAGAGGGATTAAGTTTTCACTCACATTGGTGCAAGTGACATAACTTAAGCCCAAATATTCTTTGGTTTCATTATACTAAACGCATGTTACATTCTTGCATTTCCATATCAAATGGAGTTCATTTAGTATGCAGATAGCATGGTATAATTTTGCATTTCATGCCATATATGGATGGAGTTGATTTAGTATGCATATAGCATATATTCTTGTACATCATGCCATATATGAATGGAGTTCATTTAGTGTTCATATAGCATGGTACATTCTTGCATTTCATGCCATATATAGATGGAATTCATTTAGTATGCCTGAGGCATATATTCTCGCATTTCATACCATAATTGGATGGAATTCATTTAGTATGCCTATAGCATATATTCTTGCATTTCATGCCATATAACATATGGATGGAATTCATTTAGTATGCCTATAGCATATATTCTTGCATTTCATGCCATATGGATGGAATTCATTTAGTATGTGTATAGCATCATGTATTCTCAAATTTCATGCCAGTGAAATGTGACACAGGGACTTTAAAGCAAACCTGGTCAAACCTCAGATGAAATATATTTGTGCAAATACTTGTAAACTGTCACTCATACTACATACCTCCAAGGCAACACATGGGACCCTGCTCGAGTATCACAGAGTTTGCACATGTTGGTTCATTCTGGGTTTCTTTAAAATATGTTACTCTCTGTCTTCTGGATTCAAATGGACTATGAATTGCTATATCTGCTGACAAAAACTATTATTTTTCCTTATCCCGACTCATGATTATTATGCTTGTCTCCTCCTATGCGAATGATAGTGGAACACTTGAAATTCCTTGTAGTTCCCTTGAAGAGGACGTAAAAGTACACTCACCCACGATTTCAGCTGAGTTTGTCGTTGACTGAATCAGTCAAGCATTTTATTACAGCACAGTGTCCTATATTATATTGTAAGACAATTTTTGTTTATGTAGTCCATTAACTTGCAATCGTTGTATTGTATTGTACATACTTGCAACATCATTTTAGATGCCAGTATTCTTGTTGTGCCACATGATTGAAGAACCATTTCATTGATAAACCACATTATACAGTGAGACCCAAGATACCCGGACCCCAAATATCCGGAAACCTCGCCTTCCGGTCAATTTTCATAAAAAACAATCTCTTACGTTATAAAAGTGACTGTCTATAACGGATATGCGGTTTCAGTTCCCTACGGTATATTTTACAAACCAACCGTCTAAATCAACACAAAATTAACTCACTTATCCGCACAAAGCTTTGATCTATGGCTGACCGTGTGAAGTGCTAATCCAGGATTAATGACCGATCAGCAGGGTATTGGTGGTGATTAGTAGGCCTATCTGGCACAGAGTGAATTGTAATTGGCAAATCAAAATGACCATGCTGTTTTGGAAGTGATTTTAAACCAGAAGTGTACCGGTATGCTCGCTTCACCGAAAGCATGGATGACAGAAATCCAGATATCCGGATATTCAGTTATCCAGACGATTTACACAAAAATGAATGTGTCTGGATATCCGGGGTCTTACTGTAGTTGCATAAAGAATGGCTGAGATAGTCAATAACCCTGTCTCCTTTCCCTTCTCTCTACTCCTGTATCCCTCTTGTCTTTACTATCTTCATTCTCTTCCCCTGTATCCAGCCCTTCTATTTCCTCTCTACCAGTGAAGGTCCGGGTTAGAATATTTATCTTCAGTAACCCATGCTTGTCGTAAGAGGCGACTAACGGGATCGGCTGATCAGGCTTGCTAACTTGGTTGACACATGTCATCAGTTCCCAATTGCGCAGATCGATGCTCATGTTGTTGATCACTGGATTGTCTGGTCCAGACTCAATTATTTACAGACCGCCGCCATATAGCTGCAATATTGCTGAGTGCGGCGTAAAACTAAACTCACTCACTATTCGATTATCAGCTTGGGTGAATCCTATGTCTGGTGTCCCCATGTCATAAAATGGCATTATGAATGATAATCGGTTTCTTAAATGTATTGTTCGTGAGTCATTTCTTCACCTTTTTCCTCCCAGAACAAGCCAATATCCAGATATTTGTCCACATAAACCACATTGACATGTATCTCCCCTCTAGTCTACAATCTACACAATGTTGTAGCTGCTGCAAGGGATCAGGTTTCATGTGACATTCAGTATGTATCTGCTTGTAAGTCAGAACATGTAACCTGACACAGGAAGGCTGTTTTCATACATCAACATTGATGCATGTATGAGTGAAATGACTCAGTATTTCAAACATTCCTCATGCCAAAACAGTTTGTTGGGTTTTGTTTGTCATTTACAAAATGTTATCATTTAATGTAAATAATACTAATTTTTCCTTATCCTGACTCATGCTCTTTTGCTTGTCTTCTTCTTCTTGCGAACATAATGGAACACTTGTATCTCCTTATTTGAAGCTCCCTTCAAAATAAAATCACTAATTGGTACTCACCACGAGTTGCTCCCCTTTGTCTCCCCTGGCGGGAAAGGTGTCGCCACCCTCTGGCCATGTGCTCCACTCTCTCCTTCTTCGCCCAGTGAGCAGGATGTGAGAGCGCCTTGTGTCTCCTTACACACCATATCCTTTGATAATCTCTTAGTTTTACCTCTCATAGGTTACTATAGAGGCATAGCTAGTATCCTTTACTATTTGTATTGATTAATTATCGTGATTTCTACTGTTTATTCACGCGTATTCGTGATTGTTCAGCTAGCTTTACGCTGATGAAAATCTGTACGATTTGTAGATTACGCTTTTCTGCCTCCCATCCACATGTAATATGCCCTAGTTGTTCTAATGCCTTGCGCTTAATTCCGCGCTGCAGTTACTGCATTAATTTATCTCATTCTGCATTTAATAAATATCATCTTTATGCCTCTTAAGACGTGCTGCAGATAGATCACGCAAAACAAGGGCAAAACATGGCAGAGAGTCCAGATATTCCATCCAGTCAGCTGCTAGCGATCGACCCTCTCCCGCCTGGTGTTCTGCTAGAGACCCCTGCGGCAGAGGAACGTGGACGAGTCCGTTACCTCGAAGAAACGACCGCCTCCCCAGACATCCCGTCCATTGCAGACTAAGTCTAAGAGGGTCTCATCGCCGCTCTCAACGCAGATTGAGGACACCCAGGGCAGCGCAGACTTCCAAAGGGAAATTCACGAAGACAGCAAGAACTTTCTCAGCGAGATCGCTCCAGCAGCAGAGTTGGGCCTCTACGATGATCAGCCGATAATCATCCCGACTTTCACGGCAGAAGAAGCGACCGGTGTCAGCGACTGTGACTTCTGCAGAGATCACCATGCAGCCTGATGCCTCTACACCGGCGTCAGACGTCATTGATGTGAACCCCATCGCAGAAAAGACGCCCGGCGACTTCGCCACAGATCATCCCAGAAGACATGATGCGGCAGATTATGAACATCATGGAGGACCACTACAAACTCGCAAGCAGGTCCGAGCCAGCGAAGGCTCCAACGTGAACAGCACCCCAGAGGCACCCCCGTCAACGTAGCAGCCAAGACGATGTCACCTTCTGGAAGGAAGTCCCGCACCACCTTGACGAAGGACCTAGATGTACAGCCTTCGCGAAGGCGGGAGAGATCATCACCATCTTCGATTTCATCTCTAGATATGGACTCAGACCATCAGACATCACGGAAGCCTTCGCGAAGGTCATATCATCGATCCCCCGGACCGGACGCAAATGAAGCTTCGCGAAGGCATTCGCGAAGGACATATGATTCCAGATCTTCATCGTCTAGAAGAACATCGAGGGACTGCCGAAGAGCTTCGCGAAGCTATCAACATTCACCTCACAAGTCTCCGAGAAGATCATCCCATAGACGATCTCCACTTCGTTCATCACCAGGTCGATCACCACAAACCTCATCAGATATACAGACAGCTACACGCAGTCCCGAAGAGCATCTACAATTTGTTAATGATGATGGTTTTGAGGATGATGGAGGAATCATATTTTCTGATGCAGAGATACGGTATTGGATGGTCAATAACCTAGATCTCACATCACCATCTAAAAGTGGCAATACAGCTCAGACGTATTTGATGAAGGAAGATGATCCAGATGCAATCACTCTACCCCCGATCGACCCGATTGCGGCAGTGCCACAGAATCTAGATGCAGCTTTCCTGAAAGCTACGAAAGTTCAGATACCACATCTGCCCAACTTTCAAGCCAAGAAGTTCTCCACGCATAACATGGACTCCTTCTACAAGGCCCAGGACATCGATGAGAACTATAAGATCATCAGCGATGTAAAGAACAAGATTTACAAGATGGATGATCGCAGTTGGCTCATATAGAAACCATGGCGAGGCGTATGTTCTTTGGGTTAAATAGATCTAGGGACGATCAATGAGACTCTTATTACTAGATTCGGGAGTTCCACGAACGGAAGATGATAGAATGATTTATTCTGCCTTACTTATGCAAAAGAAAGATCAGCAGTTTTAGCGGATCATCTTACATCTGTTTCAGCAGCACTGACCTTAGCTTCGTCGTCAAGGCCTCCTCGCCTCCTGTAATTGGGGAGAACTTTACAGCCCACTTTATACAGCCCGTGGTCGACAACATCCATCTTTGGCGGAGAAATCGACAAAGTCGCCAAGGAAGTCTCTAAGGATTCCAGGGAAGTCCTTATGATTAGATCGATGGACACACTAGCCAGCGTCATTAAGTCGGAGACTTCACAAAGATACTCAGGCAGATCTAAGTTCACGGGCCTACAAAGAGCAAGAGACAGGAAGATAGCCAGCTCTAGAGGTAAAGATTCTTTTAAATTAAGCCCATATGGCAACTATAGAGGAGGATCAGGAAGAGGCAGGACACCCAGAGGTTCCCGCAATTATAGACGCTGAAACACAGGTTCGGAACGACTGGAGTCTTCCACCCCCAGCCGTTCCAGTACAGCCAGCTCAAGTGGGTGGACGCCTCCAACTACACTGGGAAAACTGGGGAATATTGCAAGACCCGCCCGTCTCCAACATTCTTCAACACGGATTTCGTATTATCCCTCTACAGGCCAAGCCTCCGCTGACAATCAAACCCCCAAGTTCGATTTACAAAGCCAACAACTACCAAAGATAAGAGAGGCTGTTTCATCACTCCTATCCAAACAGGCCATAGAAGTAATAGATCAAGCAAACGTCGAACCAGGTTTCTACTCCCCAGTTTTCCTAGTTCCCAAGAAAAACTCACGGAGAAATACAGACTCATCTACAACATGAGCTTTTCAACAAGAACTATCTATACGCAAACCACCGAAGTTTAGCATGATACATTTACCTCAGTTACGCCAGATTATTAGGTCCTATGGACTACATGGGCAGCATAGATCTACAGGATGCCTACCTGCACATCCCCATTCATCCCGATTCCAGGAAATACCTACGATTTACTCTAGAAGGGCTACATTACCAGTGGAAAGTACTCCCATTCGGAATATCATCAGCCCCCTGGCTATTCACGAGGATAACGAAACCGATTATCAAATTTCTACATCGTCAAGGGCTACGCAGTGCGTTTTACCTCGACGACGGGATACAAGTAGATCAAGATCCACTGCGTCTCAAACTACAGTTAAATTACATCATAAAGCTACTAACACAACTAGGTTGGTTAGTAAACTTACGCAAGTCGGACCTAGTACCATCGCAAGACCTGCAGTTTCTAGGTATTCGATTCATCACAAATCGCAACCGTATTATGGTACCAGAAGACCGTTGGCTCAAGATACAACAGACCATTCCACCAGCTCTACTCTCTCCGTTACCACTGCGACAATGGCAGAGCCTACTAGGTCTTCTCACATCAGCCCAAGACATGACTGTCACAGGCAGATTACAGTTACGTCCCCTACAGGTCCTCATCAACGCACATCTCAACGATGTACAACCATTCAGTCTACCGAAACATCTCAGACCACATCTACTATGGTGGACCAAGAAATCGAATGTCTGCGAAGGGATTTGTTTAGCAGAGCAGGAATACAAAACCCATCTGTATGTAGACGCGTCACTCCAAGGTTGGGGAGCTCATCTCACCAACCACACGATATCAGGGTTATGGAATCAGCAAGAATGCAAACTCCATATAAACAGTCTAGAAATGAAAGCTGTAATCAACGCCATTCTACATTGGAGCACATTTCTACAAAATGCGCGCCTAATGATCCATACAGACAATTCGACAGTGGCGTTCTACATAAACAAGCAAGGCTCAACGAGATCGATGAACCTTTTGAACCTAAGCTTTCAACTGTTCGATTTAATACAAGATCTAAATCTACATGTCAGAGCAGTGCACATTCCCGGAGCCAGAAATATACTAGCAGACGCTCTCTCTCGGCCTCATCTACCATCACCGACAGAGTGGATGATCAACAGGGAAATTTTTTGCACAGATAATCAAGCAATTAGGAGCGCCGCTAATAGACCTATTCGCCACGCGATTCAACAATCAGCTACCGACATTCGTGTCACCAGTCCCAGACCCCCAAGCTTGGGCAACGGACGCTCTAAGTCTATCATGGGAAGGCCTCAATGCGTACGCGTTTCCGCCGCCAGCAATAATACCTCAAGTATTACAGAAAATCAGACAAACACAGAGCCTACAACTCACTTTGGTCGCGCCCTACTGGCCGGCCAGAACGTGGTTTCCCATACTAATTCAAGAAATCGGTCAACCAACACTGGAGCTACCCAAGCGCGCAAACCTGTTAATTCATCCTCACACCAAACAAGTGCACGGAAACCCAGCAATGTTCCAACTACACGTATGGACTGTATACAAATGTGTTTAAACAAGAGAGGATATTCTGCCAGGGCGGCAAAAGCAGTCACGCTTGCCTTACGTTACTCAACTCGTAACTTGTACGACGACAAGTGGCACAGTTTCGAAAATTATGCAACAAAGAAAGGGTTTACAGCAAGAGAGGCTTCACAACCTCAAGTGGCAGACTATTTGTGTTACCTACGCCAAAACAAACATTTAAAAGGTTCAACGATATCAACATATCTTGCCGCGCTTAGTTCTGTAATCACCATGAGAACGGGTGTCAAATTGACAAGATCTCCAGAGTTACTGGCCTTACTACGAGCTTTCCGATTGGAGGACCAAAAGCGGAAGTTCCACGCCCCAGCTTGGGATCTGAATGTAGTGTTACAACACCTCACGAGTGAGGTCTATGAACCTTTGGAATCGACAAACTTTGAATTTCTCTCACAGAAAACACTGTTTCTGCTATCGCTAGCCACAGCAGCAAGAATGTCTGAAATTCACGCTCTGGATTACGAGAGGATACAGTTTGATGACAATCATAACACAGCGCACCTCGGATTAAGATGGGATTTCATCGCAAAAAAATCAACTGCCAGGTCAACCAGACAGATTATTCCACATCCCGGCGCTATCCTCTATTCTCGGATCACAAGATACACAAGACCTATCACTGTGTCCGGTAAGAGCGCTCAAAGTTTATTTACGACGATCCAAAACAAGGAGAAGATTTCTCAAACGTTTATTCATCCCCTTATCGCCTACGAATCAAACAGAAGTGTCACGGACCACAATATCTATTTGGATAAGGACTGTCATTCTCCGTGCCTACAAGGCAGCAGGCTTGGACCCACCAACAGCATCAAATCCACATGAGATCAGGGCACTGGCCTCTACCCTCGCCCTACACGGTAACTGTTCCTTGAACACGATTATGGAAGGATGCTATTGGAAATCTAACATGGTATTTGCTAATCACTACCTAAGAGACATCACTACAGAAGATGTCTCTGGCATTCACCATTTCGGACCACTGGTCCTCGCTCAGCAACTGACAGTCCCTCGTAGGCGTTAAAATATTATCCTCACAAGATTAATATGTATTTTATACATACTCATCTAGCTTATAACTCTACGGAGTTTTAGGGCTATGTATATATGTTCAGCTTAAGTATTCAACCTTAAGCATATACTTGGATATAGTCAATTTCAGTGCCTCTATCAGAGTCACCTATATATATATATATATAATTTATATGTATTGTTCAATATATTCATAATGTAATTCCCCTTTAATGGCTTTATATAACCTATGGTTTTCTTTATACAGGAAACATCCTAAATCTAAGCCTTCATGAAGTTCCCGTAGGGGATATTACAGTATATCTATACAAAATCACTAATTATAAATCCAAAGTATTCTGTTACCCACCTCCGTTCCGTAGGATGCTACAAGTAAAGAGCATGAGTCAGGATAAGGAAAAATATGTAATTTTAGAGTAAAATTGATATTTTATACTTATCCTGACTCATGAGGTTAGCTCCTCCCATCCTCCCCCACATAACACTTTGGATTTCCTGTAAATTCAAGTGTTGGGCTCAAGCTAAATCAGGAGAGAGTGGAGCACATGGCCAGAGGGTGGCGACACCTTTCCCGCCAGGGGAGACAAAGGGAGCAACTCGTGGTGAGTACCAATTAGTGATTTTATTTTGAAGGAGCTTCAAATAAGGAGATACAAGTGTTCCACTATGTTCGCAAGAAGAAGAAGACAAGCAAAAGAGCATGAGTCAGGATAAGTATAAAATATCAATTTTACTCTAAAAAATTACATTTTTATGGATCCGGATAGAAAGTGGAAGGCTGTTTTGTGCATCATGGATGCGGATTAAAAGTGTCATCCCTCACTGATGTGTTGTATGCAGGCTTGTATTTACAAGTCAGTATTAATCAACAGCTGATTTACATGGCTTCCGGATGAGACTTGAGGTTTAGGCAGTGATAGTTATCATAGAGTCAGGTTGTGTGATCTGAAAGTCTTGAATTCAGTCCTTTGTTTTACAACCAAATAATTAAGGACTTGCACAACTGGTAAATATCGTTTGTATATGTGACAATCCAAATGTTGGATTTCAGGTTGTGTCAGTTTAGAGAATGTCTTCAGGCTCTCAGAGTAGTTCCTAGATGTAACCATAGTAACAAAAGTAAAAGTAAGATAAATATACATGTAGTACTAAATAGTGATATTTAATCATACTTTCTCAAAAAAAAATTGTGATAGAACATAATATAATATGAACGTTAATGCTGCATTAAAGAGTGTTCAGTTGCTATCATCTGCAGTAGATCACAGCTGCTATGCAGAGTTGTCTTCCCTAAGTGCTCCAGGATTTGTTGATTATGGATTGAAATCCCCGATTTGCTCCATTAAGATCCATGGTTGGTCACTTTGTAGGCTTTACCCCCCTTATAAGGCTGACATGCATTGGTTCAGATTGTTGCTCTGCATTTAGAGTAATCAACCCTTTTCAAGACCATCTGTAATCTAAAGTCTGAATTAATAAGCAGAGGCTGGTTGTTTATTCTGCTGTATTTATTACTATGACATCAGGTTCACCATGGACTGTATCGGCATATAGTGAAGTCACTTGCATTGTTTAGCAAAAAAGAGTAACAAGAAAAATGTACAACCGAACTTCTTAAATATTTTAACATTATCCTAATTGCCTTATATAATGCTAATTTTGTTATCAAATGAATACAAGCATGTGGTTTCACATACTTCCAGAAGTTCAAACATGCAGTGACATTTCATTTGTGATAGCATTAAATAGATTACAATGCACTGACATGACTGGAACACGGTGGTGCAACTAGCATTTACCTTTGATGTAAGTAATTGACATTTGGTCTTTAACTTTCTGATCAACCAGTTGACATAAAATATGTTGATCATCTGAATCCATCTAAGCCAAAGTAATCTTAATAATTCTACAATTTCTGTGACAGTGAAATAATATCTCAGGTTCATATTCATAACTTTGTATCTGTATCAACATAACCATAAGTAGCGAAAATGTTGACAATGTTGTGCTGATGTTATTCTGTGGGATGTGCTGTGGTTGGTTCCACAAATACTTGTGATGTCAATTTCCTTGTTCATAGTTAATCATACATGTGTTCATTTTCCACCGTCCCACCTCTCACTCACATCAGGACCCTATCGCGGGGGTCGGCTTATGTACGAAACAAACCATTTTGACACTGATTTTTTTAAGGGTCAAGTTAGGGGATGGCTTATCTACGTATCCATATGGTGAAACATGACAAGTGTCATATATATCATATGTGCACATATCACTTTTGCCTAGCAACCATTGTTTCTCTATTTCGTCATCTGTGACGTCATTTAAACGATTGAACGTGACGTCAATGAACAGGGCAGTCACACTTGCTTACCGTGTTTTACTGCTCAATTGTACACCTAATAAAAGGATACTAAAGAAAAACAAGTAAATACAAAATTTCCCACTCATTTTGTATAAGTCGTATGACACACTTGAGAATGTCACACTTGCTCGTGTAATAATCTCTATATACGGTACAGGTAATCTCAGTCACCATGAATCTGAAGTCTTGACACGTCTTCTTTCATTTTATGATAACACATGTTGTCACTTTAGTTTACAGATAATGTACACATAATTAAATGCCATGAACAGTTTGTTTTAATAATACCTTAAAATTAATTTTAAAAAATGGTCTATATAATATATTGTGCTTTACTGAAAGTAATTGGAGACCATCATTGCCAGTAACTGAACTATATGTTCGTCCGTCCATCCTTGCAATGTATGTGGGTGTGCCTTACTGTGATAACTGTTGATTTTGTGTTCGTTAATCAGAGATTAATATGGTTAAGGATGGAAAATATCTTAAGAATATTTACATTTTAACATTTATTTTTATTTTTATTGACATATCATTGCTAATTCAAACCATTTCTTATTTCATGAAATAAAGAAAAGACTTACAAATGGTACAGTGTTTTTAATATCATATTTACATCCATATTCACACCAATATTTACAATAAGTGAAAGGGTTACAGTTGGCCGTTTGCTTGAACTGTGCAGGCTCCCGTGAAGAGCCAGGTTACAATTGATCTTCAGCAATCCATGCTTGTCATATAAGGTGACTAATTGGATTTGGTGGCCACCCCGCCGACTTGGTTGTAGGACAATGCTCATGTCAATGATTGCATTGTCTGTTCCAGACTCGATAATTTACAGACTGCCGTGATACAGCTGGAATACTGCTGAGTGCTGCTTTTAACAAACAGAGTTCTGGCAGACTGGCTACACTGGTGTTATTCCTGTAGAAGTTGAAGAAGAAATTATCCAGATGTCCAGCAAGCATGTCCATACTTTTGGAGTAGTATCACGCTACAGACCAGAAGACTGACTGACTGAGTTTGGTTTTAAGCCGCTTTTAGCAATATTCCAGCAACATCACGGCGGGGGACACCAGAAATGGGCTTCACACATTGTACCCATGTGGGGATTCAAACCCGGGTCTTCGGCGTGACGAGCCAACGCTTTAACCACTAGGCTACCCCACCGCCCCTACAGACCAGAAGAGTCAACACTTCCAGTAACATTGTCTGTACTCTTGAACTAACATCACTGATGTAGACCAGAAGTGCATTCTCCTACTTCCTACACAGTGATCCATCACTGGTGTAACACACAACAGGCCAGCTTCTATTCTCATTGGTCGTACCCACTGTCAACATTCTCCTCCGTTGGGTCAAGGTCTTCTGGTTCCTGAAAGTGAAAACATGAGCAATTGTAGCTCTAAAGTGATCGTAACTCCCATACTTTAATAAGATAGTTGTAGTGCTAAGTAGTGGTATTCCGATTAATTGAAATAATCAAGATTGGTCGCGAGTGACCAAACGACCAAGCAATCGATCACATTTTCTCATAATCGAACACAAACGATTTTGGAACTGCTGTTTTAGTGTTTGAAACGCTTGACGATGGAAGATATCTTCGAAGTTGTCAGGGCCTGAAAACTTGTTTAATTATTAGAAAACTCACTTCACTAACTGAAAAGTCATGACTGAATATTTCTTGAAGACTCCAGAAAGTTTATGTTCATGATATATTACTCAGCACTTTAAAGTAGCAAGTTGCATCATGTTATACATATCTACAATAACAATCTTGGTAGGAAAATCTGAAAAATGACGCTAACCAATTTTTTTCGATGATTGTCCGTTGGTAATGAAGCAATCATCAATTGTGAAATTTCAATCAATTCCCAACACTAGTGCTAAGATTGTTATGAGAAACAGAGCCCTAGCAACTACAGACTGGACACCTACAAACATTGCATCTACAGACATGACACATACCCTGGGCTCCCGAGGCTCCAGCTCGTCCCCATACTGAATGGCCAGGTCTATCTGCAACAAGATGTCGTTGATGCTCTCTTCATCCGAGATGTCCAATGGCAGGAACTTCACCAGGGCGTAGTCATCCACCTGGAGTGTGAATGTTGTTAAACCATCAATGACAGCAATATTACAGTAACATCCTTCAATTTCATCCAGGGAAACTAGAGATTATATTGTGTAGTGAATATATTGTTTTATACCACAGTCAGTGTATATTCCAACTGTATCAAACATAAAAGCAGCTTGTGCAACAATCTATGGTTTATTAGTTGATACTAAGAGCCAAGCTTTGTGAAAATAAATCCCCTTTAATTCAAGATTATTTTGTTTCTCAAATCTTGCAAATGGTCTCTCTGGTAAACATCATCAGTAACTGACAAGCCAACTGCATCCTTTATAACCTCTGTGTTATTCACCCTTACTCTTAAGCGATATTTTGACAATGTATTTACAAAGATTACTTACCAGCTTTGCAACGGCCTCGTTAAGTTTCTTGAATCTGTGGCTGAATTTCCGTCCATGAATTCTTTCGGTGTAGCAAGTTCTCCATGTCCGGGTCCAGATACCTAGAGAACACATAAAGTAGTGAGTGAGTGAGTGAGTTCAGTTTTACGCTTTTAGCAATATTCCAGCTATATCACGCAGGGAACACCAGAAATGAGCTTCACATATTGTACCCATGTGGGGAATCGAACCCGGTCTTCGACGTGATGAACTTAACGCTTTAATCACTAATACGCTACTACCCCACCTTCACATAAAAAGTAGAACCATTACACATCAACCACACTTCCAGTCAGTGTGTATTGTTTTATTCTGCTTTTAGCAATATTCCATCAATATCATGGTCTATATAATATCTTGTGCTTTACTGAAAGTAATTGAGACCATCATTGCCAGTAACTGAACTATCTGTTCATCCTCATTCATCCTGGTAATGTATGTGGGTGTGCCTTACTGTGATAACTGTTGATTTTGTGTTCAAGTTAATCAGAGATTAATATGGTTAAGGATGGAAAATATCTTAAGAATATTTACATTTTAACATTTATTTTAATTTTTATTGATATATCATTGCTAATTCAAACCATTTCTTATTTCATGAAATAAAGAAAAGACTTACAAATGGTACAGTGTTTTTAATATCATATTTACATCCATATTCACACCAATATTTACAATAAGTGAAAGGGTTACAGTTGGCAGTTTGCTTGAACTGTGCAGGCTCCCGTGAAGAGCCAGGTTACAATTGATCTTGTCATGCTTGTCATATAAGGTGACTAATTGGATTTGGTGGCCACCCCGCCGACTTGGTTGATGCATATCTTTGTAGGACAATGCTCATGTCAATCATTGCATTGTCTGTTCCAGACTCGATAATTTACAGACTGCCTTGATACAGCTGGAATACTGCTGAGTGCTGCTTTAAACAACAGAGTTCTGGCAGACAGGCTACAGTGGTGTCATTCCTGTAGAAGTTGAAGTAGAAATTATCCAGATGTCCAGCAAGCATGTCCATACTTTTGAAGTAGTATCACGCTACAGACCAGAAGACTGACTGACTGAGTTTTGGTTTTACACCGCTATTAGCAATATTCCAGCAACATCACGGCGGGGGACACCAGAAATGGGCTTCACACATTGTACCCATGTGGGGATTCGAACCCGGGTCTTCGGCGTGACGAGCCAACGCTTTAACCACTAGGCTACCCCACCGCCCCTACAGACCAGAAGAGTCAACACTTCCAGTAACACTGTCTGTACTCTTGAACTAACATCACTGATGTAGACCAGAAGTGCATTCTCCTACTTCCTACACAGTGATCCATCACTGGTGTAACACACAACAGGCCAGCTTCTCATTGGTCGTACCCACTGTCAACATTCTCCTCTGTTGGGTCAAGGTCTTCTGGGTCCTGAAAGTGAAAACATGAGCAATTGTAGCGCTAAAGTGATCGTAACTCCCATACTTTAATAAGATAGTTGTAGTGATAAGTAGTGGTATTCCGATTAATTGAAATAATCGAAGATTGGTCGCAGTGACCAAACGACCAAGCAATCGATCACATTTTCTCATAATCGAACACAAACGATTTTGGAACTGCTGTTTTAGTGTTTGAAACGCTTGACGATGGAAGATATCTTCGAAGTTGTCAGGGCCTGAAAACTTGTTTAATTATTAGAAAACTCACTTCACTAACTGAAAAGTCATGACTGAATATTTCTTGAAGACTCCAGAAAGTTTATGTTCATGATATATTACTCAGCACTTTAAAGTAGCAAGTTGCATCATGTTATATATATCTACAATAACAATCTTGGTAGGAAAATCTGAAAAATGACGCTAACCAATTTTTTTTCGATTGTCCGTTGGTAATGAAGCAATCATCAATTGTGAAATTTCAATCAATTCCCAACACTAGTGCTAAGATTGTTATGAGAAACAGAGCCCTAGCAACTACAGACTGGACACCTACAAACATTGAATCTACAGACATGACACATACCCTGGGCTCCCGAGGCTCCAGCTCGTCTCCATACTGAATGGCCAGGTCTATCTGCAACAAGATGTCGTTGATGCTCTCTTCATCCGAGATGTCCAATGGCAGGAACTTCACCAGGGCGTAGTCATCCACCTGGAGTGTGAATGTTGTTAAACCATCAATGACGGCAACATTACAGTAACATCCTTCAATCTCATCCAGGGAAACTAGAGATTATATTGTGTAGTGAATATATTGTTTTATACCACAGTCAGTGTATATTCCAACTGTATCAAACTTAAAAGCAGCTTGTGCAACAATCTATGGTTTATTAGTTGATACTAAGAGCCAAGCTTTGTGAAAATAAATCCCCTTTAATTCAAGATTATTTTGTTTCTCAAATCTTGCAAATGGTCTCTCTGGTAAACATCATCAGTAACTGACAAGCCAACTGCATCCTTTATAACCTCTGTGTTATTCACCCTTACTCTTAAGCGATATTTTGACAATGTATTTACAAAGATTACTTACCAGCTTTGCAATGGCCTCGTTAAGTTTCTTGAATCTGTGGCTGAATTTCCCGTCCATGAATTCTTCGTGTAGCAAGTTCTCCATGTCCGGGTCCAGATACCTAGAGAACACATAAAGTAGTGAGTGAGTGAGTGAGTTCAGTTTTACGCCGCTTTTAGCAATATTCCAGCTATATCACGGCAGGGAACACCAGAAATGAGCTTCACATATTGTACCCATGTGGGGAATCGAACCCGGGTCTTCGACGTGATGAACGAACGCTTTAACCACTACGCTACCCCACTGCCCCCACATAAAGTAGAACCATTACACATCAACCACACTCAGTCAGTGTGTATTGTTTTATTCTGCTTTTAGCAATATTCCATCAATATCATGGTGGGGGATACTTAAACTGGGCTTCACACATTGTACCCATGTGGAGAATCAAACCTGGGTCTTTGGTGACTGGCTTGAACCACTACACTACCCCACTGCACCCTCAACCACAATGAAGTTCTTGGGGTTTGTGTCAGGGTCTTGTGACTTGGGATGATATGACTTGTGTATTAGGTTACCACGACAACTAGAAATATTTTAAACAAGATACAAATCCCAGCCGCTATATAGCTTGGATATTGCTGAATGCGGCGTAAAACTAAACTCACTCACTCATCCATCTGAACACTTCTTAAGTTAACACAAACATAATACAGTTTTTAGCATATGACCTTGAGGCTGAACTTGACCTCACCTGTCCAAGTCTTTCTTGGCCTTTTTGCTGAGCAGGTCCAACTTTGTGAGGATGTTGACGTGAGTGATCTCCAGGTTCACCATCGTGGACAACGCTGTCAGCACTCCTGACGTGAACTTGGATGCCTCGATCATGAACTGTGAGTCGATGAGGAACACGCCACATACACGGAAGTTCCAGTTCTGCAAGGCTTCCACCAACTGCTTCATGGCCGGGATGTGTGTGTACAACTCAATCTGACCTGAAATGAAGCAGTGGAAATTCATTTGGAATGTTTAATAAAGTGATTGTAGGCCAAGTCCATTATAAGAATTTACTAAAGTATTCAAGTTATGATTGTCTACAATATATTTGTCAAACAGTACCCAGGTACCTGCACCCAGATATGGATGCCATACTACACAAATAATTCTATCAGTTGACAGTAATTGATAACTAAGGCCAAAATATTTTATTTTCTTTCATGATCTTTGTTATCTCTTCCTCTAAAGTTACCTGGGTCCCTTGAAGTTCAAGCGAATGAATCCATTATTTATGCCAAATTTATGCCGACAAAACTGTCACTCACTTTACACCATCACATTTGATGAATATGAAGTATGATAGAATGGATGACTGTTTTCCTGGATATCAAAGCCTTTCACTTACCTGGACAGTCAAAAATAATGTAGTCATCTTCAATGTCATCCAGCTGTTCACGAAGCCAGTCCAGGTTCTGGATCAGGTATCTGAAGTGAGGCAGGCGTGGTATAAACAGTCGTATAGCATTGTTATACTGAGCTATTGATGATTATTATATGTATGTATGTACGTATGTATGTATGTATGCATTTAAGTATGAGTGTGTATGTGCGTTATTATGCATTAGCGTCATGCGCCTGCCTGCCTGCCTGTCTTGGCGATGCGATGTATGTATGTATGCGATGTGCGCGTATGTACACGAGTGTGTAGGTATGTATGTATGTCTGTATGTGTGTATGTAAGGATGAACGTAAGTATATGCGCGCGTGTATATGTTGTGTAAGTGGGTGTATGTATGTGTGTGTGTGTGTGTGTGTGTGTGTGTGTGTGTGTGTATTGTGTGGCTTGTATTTATGTATGTATGTAAGTGTCTATGCATGCATGTGTCTATGTATGTATTTAGGTATGTATATCGCCTATGTATGGATGAATTTATGTATGAATTATTATTATACACCAATTCAAACATCCTCACTGCTTGAAGATATGTAATGATATATTGTAGTGTTGGGAATTGGATAAAATCTCATAATTGATGATTGATTCATTACAACCGATCAATCATCGAAAATAATTGGTCAGCATCATTTATCAAATTTTTTCTGGTTATGTTTGTTACTGCACAAAACAAAGAAAAAACATGTAGTTCTTATGAGTCTTTTTGCAAATTCCACAAAATGCATGTGCAAATTTAACATCTTTAAAGGATGACTAGTATGTTAGGAACATAAATTTCCTGGAGTCTTTAAGATAAATTCAATCCTGACTTGGAACGAGCTTGTAATGTTTATGAAATGCAACAGACAAAACCAACCTTGTGAAAAATATTGTTAATGCAAACAAGTGTTCCAGAATTGTTTGTGTTCGATTATGAGAAAACATGATCGATTGCTTGGTCGTTTAGTCATTGCGACCAATCTTCGATTATTTCAATTAATCGGACCACCACTAATATATTGTCTTTGTCATGGGATACGACATTTACAAAATTCACATAATTTACATATTCTCTATTACAAATCACCAGTCATGGCTGCCAATTTAAAATGTGGAATTTCAACCCCTACAACTGAATCATATGCATGGACAAAATCACTGAAGCACCTGTAAAAGGACTTTGACTATCTTGTTCACAAGAGTGAGTGAGTGAGTATAGTTTTACGCCGCACTCAGCAATATTCAAGCTATTTGGCGACAGTCTGTAAATAATCGAGTCTGGACCAGACAATCCAGTGATCAACAGCATGAGCATTGATCTGCGCCATTGGGAACCGATGACATGTGTCAACCAAGCCAGCGATTCCTGACCACCCGATCCCGTTGTTCACAAGAGGCTTCATTAATTATTGTGAGGTGTGAGTGAGTGAGTTTAGTTTTACACCACACTCAGAAATATTACAGCTATATGGCGGTGTCAGTTAATAATCAAGCCTGGACCAGACAATCCAGTGATCAACAGTATGAGCATCAATATACGCAACTGAGATATGATGACATGTGTCAACCAAGGCATCGAGTCTGACCACCCAATCCTGTTAGTCGCCTCTTATGACAAGCATGGGTTACTGAAGATCAATTCTAACGGGATCTTCACAGGTCTACTGTGAGGAGACTCACTTAGTGGCCTCTGTGTTAAGTGGAGGAAAGGTGATACCTGGGTATACCAGGTGTGTGACATGAAACTATGTAAAACTGACTTGTTGCTTTATCAGATTTATCTTTTGTGTCTTGCTAGAAACTTATGTAATCTTCACAAGTTTAGTGGTTATCTATTCCGTATAGCACACAGTGGTCTGTGCTTCAACACAACACTTAGAGTGTCCACATTATGCAGCATTATCACAAGTTTAGTGGTTACCTATTCCCTATAGCACACAGTGGTCTGTGCTTCAACACGACACTCAGAGTGTCAACATAATGCAGCATTATCTGAAGCAAATGGCAAACCTCAAAATCAGGTGTCCAAAAATGATACAACACTAGGTCTTTGGTCTGAAGCTGATAGCTAATAATGAGTATAGAAAACCAAAATCAATACTTTTAACAGGGCCAACAGAAAGTGATAGATACATTTTACAACATACACGTTAGGTAAACCTTTTATACTTCAACATCAAACTGGGAATGATTCAACCACAGAGGGATGATCCTCATTCTCAGGTCAGGGTTTCAGTTCATTGTTTGCCACAACAGATCGATGACTTACTATAGTCCAGATTTGATGGTAAAGATATTGTCCAGTCAGAATAAACGGAACCATGCATGTACTACGATGACAGCAAAGTCTATGAATTTGTTTTTCATTCTTTATTATAGTTTGGTCCAGACTTGACTATTTACAGACCGCTGCCACATATCTGTAATATTGCTGAGTGCGGCATTAAACAACAAACCAACCAACCAACCATTCTTTATTATTTACTCAGAGTAGAATTTGTGGAGCTTCTATAAAATATGTTCACCCCTAACCTAACCCTAATGCAAACAGATTCTATAGTTTTGACGAACTTGCAAATAGCAACCAATGCAAGGTGAAATTAAACATATAAGTGACAGTCTAGATATATGAGGTGTACTCACTCCATACAGAAGATCAGGCCTCCATTAGGACCAAACTGGAGGGCTTCGTCATCCATGGCATCATCGATGTGAATTAGCTCTCGAACATCTGCAATGTTAATCAGGCCACTGTAAGCTTCATCACCAAAGTTAGAGGCTGATGTCAAGCTACGATGTCTGCAGCAGTTTACTTGCTGCTTGCCTTTCACTAAGCAATGTTTGAGAACAAACTGCAAGATTTAACTTGTTTTGTTCAAATAAAACATTTCTGTGCAGGTATTTATAAATTTGAGAATGGTACTACTACTAGTACCTTTACTGAAATGTTGAGTGAGTGAGTATAGTTTTACGACACTTTTTGCAACATTCTAAGCAAAAGAACAGGGGAAGTCATAAGAAACTGGCTTCACATACTGGACTTATATGGTGAATCAACTCAGGCCTTAAAGGTTGACGAGTGAATGCTGTAATTAAATGGCTACCCCACCTAACAGAGGAATGTTGAAGTTAAGGAATCACATGTGTTACAGGTTCTTTTCGGCCATGGATGTTGTATTTCTAGAGATAATCACCCGCAAGGACAGGATAGTCAAACGTCTCAGCAGCAGGGTCCAGGTTGACCACATGGACCGACCGCCTCAACACCTCACAGTGCTTCACGAGGTTACTGCAGTACGTGGACTGGAACAACACAAGTTACAGGATACCATAGTCACCATGATTTTAGAAATGATAGTTACTATAGTTATTTGTACACATTGATTTAAGAACAAGAACATATCTGTGGTTTACCATACCATATTTAGTGAGGAAAATCACCATAAAACTAGATTGCAGCATGACATCTTTGTTGACGATCATATTACGATGAACAACTGTTGTAAGTTGTGTTTGAGACTGCATTACTGTTGGTGATTCAAGATAAGGTTTTAACACCAATTTGCACAGAATACAGAACAATCTAAGAGATGAGGTATTCTTGAGTATCCAAAGTTCATATGCCTATGGACAAGGCAGTTCATTCTTTTGTAAAGGAAACAAAATGGGAAAGATTTCCGCCCGAAACCCCGAGCTTTTTTAATCATTTTATGCCTAAGAATAGATGGGTTTTTTATTTCATATTCTAGCACGACATTGTGTGATGCTCGATTCTGATTGGCTGAGAGCTCATCAAAACCATACTTAAATGGCAGTTTAAGACCGCTAATTACAGTGACCGATTTGCCGCATATGAATAAAATGACCCTTTTGTTTGTAAACAAACATGTTGGACATAGGCAATTTCTACCTCAGCAGCATCTTTGATGTTTTTGAAATAAAAAGTGAATAGTTTGAAGAAGAATTTCTTGACCCTAATCCCAGTGAAGAAACTACGAAGCTGGAAAATACGTATTCAAACCGGGTCTAGATCTAGCGGGCATGACGTCGACAACACATGTCGGCCCATATGTCCTAACATGACCGCTTCCGTCCCGGGCGTAATGCCCAGTCCTTCCACTTCCACTGTCCATATATCCCACATAAAACATGGCATGTCAGGTCTTTTCCAAATTGGGAATAGTAGGGTGGTTATCAACAATTATTTTCGCGAATAAAGTTAGCAGCGACTAAACTTAGCGAGTTCATGGCTTGAATTGGGGCAAGTCGATTGTCATACAGTTGGGGAGATCAATAGTTTGCTTGAGAAAAATTAAATAATTGTACTTGCTCACAGTATAAACTGTATTTTTTTTATTTATGTATGCTACTTGTTACAAATACAAGCTTACTGGTTCCTGAAATAAAGCATTTATGTTGTTGAAAATGTCTTATTTTGTTCATTACATAACCTGTCCCTGAACGGGACGATTCCAAGCGATATCCAGGAAAAAGGCCCATTCACGCCTTGTGTTCTTACGCGCCAAACAGTTCGGTTTTAAAACGCTTATCAGTCATGCTAGAATGAAGATAAAGCTACTCTGTTTTCAATTTTGCGGTCCTTTATCATTGATTTAAGACCACTAAATGTTTAATTTAAAACTGTCGCGTTCGGTTTTTAAATTACATTTAGCAGTCTTAAATCAACGATAAAGGACTGCAAAATTGAAAACAGAGTAGCTTTATCTTCTAATTGTTCATGTACATATTTCATTAGTTTCTTTATTATCGAGCTTACTTTCCCTTTAATTCTAATTTTCAGCACAACACCAATTTACATTTTGACATTTCAAGCGGGGGTTACGGGTAGAACTCTTACCAAAGTGCATGTTACTTGACAAAGATTTTTTTTCTGATAGACAGTTCACCATTTGGTAAGAGTTCCTCCCGTTCCCCCATCCCAAATAATACTTATAATTTAATATGTACTAAAATTATGAGCAAAACCTAACAGAACAATTACTAGAGAACTCACAAAAATAACTAAAAGCCCAAACATTAATTGCAATATATAGGGTCGAACCACGTTGCGTTACCTCTGTTAATCTGCGGAAGAAAGGGGAGTACTGCACTTAACCGGGCGCACTTTTTCAGATTAATTACCGCTGCTGGGGTTCCCTAACCCTAACCCTAAGGATAAACAGGGAATGTACTCTATCCACTTCTCCACAAAAACCGCTCTGTGGAATTCAATGAACTTCTACATGGGCTTTCTTGGGACTCTAATGGTGTGCATCTCATATTTTGTTTTTGTATTTTATTGGTTTTTTGTAAGTTTAGAGACATTTGAACTTAGGTACATTTTGCTGAATTTCTCTATGATGATAGTGTAATAGGGGATGAAGTCTATCCACTTCTCCACAAAAACTGCTCAACAGAATTGAATGAACTTCTACATGTCTTTCGTAGGGACTCTAAAGGTGTGCATTTCATAATTTTTTATGCAATTTCTTAATTTTGTCACTTTTACAGATGTTTGAACTTAGTTGAATTTTGTTCTATTCAGCCTGTTCATTCCATCCAACAGGTGGTGTACGTTATCCACTTCTCCTCAAAAACTACTTTATGGAATTCATTTCGATTACACATGTGCTTTATAGGGACTCTAAAGGCGTGCATCTCATATTTTGATTTTGTATTTTATTTATTTTTCCAATTTTAATGCCGTTTGAACTTACATAAATTTTGTTGAATTTCTCTCTGAATATAGTGTTATAGGGGATGAAGTCTATCCACTTCTCCACAAAAGCTGCTCAACAGAATTGATTGAGCTTCTACATGCGTTTCATTGGAACTCTAAAGGTGTTCATCTCATACCTTGTTCATCCAATTTCTTAATTTTGTCACTTCTACAGATGTTTGAACTTAGTTGAATTTGGTTCTATTCATCCTGTTCGTCCCATACAACAGTGGGTGTACTTTATCCACTTCTCCTGAAAAACCACTGCACAAAACTCATTTAGCTTACATATGTCCTTTATAGAGACTCTAAAGGTGTGCATCTCATATTTTGTTTTTGTATTTTGTATTTTTTTGTATGTTTAGAGACATTTGAACTTAGATAAATTTTGTTGAATTTCTCTCTGATGATAGTGAAATAGGGGATTAGGTCTATCCACTTCTCCACAAAAACTGCTCAACAGAATTGATTAAGCTTATACGTGTGTTTCATTGGGACTCGAAAGGTGTGCATCTCATAGTTGCATAGATGTTTATTAAACTTGTTCGTGAATTTTGTTCAATTATTGATCTTTATATGATAATAGGTTAGGTTGTGTTATCTAACCCCTCAACACATTGTTTTTAGTGTTTTCAAGTACTTCAGTGGGACCCTGAATGTGTGAACTCTTCCTACAGCAGCAGGGGCATCCGTGTCCCTGGACACAATTTTTTCTTGTTACAATAAGTTTGATTTTTGTTGATAACCACTAAATTTTTATTAAAACAAACGGCTATATACCAAGTGATCAGTTGTTTTCCCAACAATAATACCGATTAAACTGTTACTAAGCATGCAAACTAAATCATTGAAAAATGTCACGTGATGAGCAGGAAGTAAGGTGAGCGGAAGGAAGAAGTGCTGCTTTGGGCGGAGGAGGGTCTCTGATTAATATCACACGTCTGTAAAGAGCAAGATTCAAGATGCCAGTAAGTATACAAACTTCATGCTTGAAGTAACTCTTTCCTTACGAACGGAAGCTTATCAAGCCAGTTATTTCGATCACCGTGTCATTTCACTGCCAGTGGAAATTTTGCATTCGGGTCCTACCAGGAAGACATTTATTCTCATTCTGTCAGATTATCAAGTTCATGTCATCGGAGTTAATCTTCAAGTCCTAATTCGTGTATATGTCCATAAAGCAGAAACCTCTAACATAACTTTGAGTACGTTATCTTATACACTCACGTTTTCAGATATAGAAAATATTTTGTGATAAAAGATGCTTTTCATCAAATTCATGGTTAGGAACTTGACTGACTGACTGACTGAGTTTAGTTTTACGTCGCTTTTAGCAATATTCCAGCAATATCACGGCGGGGGACACCAGAAATAGGCTTCACACATTGTGCCCATGTGGGGAATCGAACCCGGTCTTCGGTGACGAGCCAACGTTTTAACCACTAGGCTACCCCACCGCCCGGTTAGGAACTTGAAAAGTGAGTGAGTGAGTTTAGTTTTACGCCGCACTCAGCAATATTTCAGCTATATGGCGGCGGTCTGTAAATAATCGAGTCTGGACCAGACAATCCAATGATCAACAGCATATGAGCATCGATCTGCGCAATTGGGAACCGATGACATGTGTCAACCAAGTCAGCGAGCCTGACCACCCGATCCCGTTAGTCGCCTTTTAGGACAAGCATAGTCGCCTTTTAGGACAAGAATGGGAAGACCTATTCTACCCCGGATCTTCACGGGTCAGGAACTTGAAAAGGAATGGTGTCAATAATGACTGTTTAGCTGTAAACACTTTTGTCTTATTGTCACGGGATATTAATAATTTGGCTAGAAGAATTTCACAACAGTGGATTTTACATAATTGTGGCTATCAGATGAAAATCTTTCCTAGATGATGTTTGAATTGTGTCAAGAAGTTGTTCTAGTAGCTTATGCTCTTATGATATTTATATACCATGATTGATGTGATAATTTCACATATCTGTAGATATTTATCACCACACAAGTACTGCATGCTCGTTCACAAAATCAACCCTTCATTCTCTGTAACATTTATAACATCACACATTCATTAAGCAACTATAATAAACAAACGCGGTCAAAAACAAGCAATATATTTGTGCCAGTCAGTCCTCATCAGCTCCAGATTCCCTGAACACAGTGGGGTAGCCTAATGGTTAAAGCGTCTGCTCGTCTTGCTGAAGACCCAGGTTCGATTCCCCACATGGGTACAATATGTGAAGCCCATTTCTGGTGTCCCTGCTGTGATATTGCTGGAATATTGCTAAAAACAGCGTAAAACCATACTCACTCACTCCTTAACACACTAAAGGGAGAGAACTCAAAACACCTTGCATTGCCCTGAATTGTAGCCTTTCTGTCAAATTATTCAGGCATTGTTATTGACCTCACCTGGGTCGCTGATCTCTGAAATGGTGTATTGTTTTCTTACTTTTGAGCAAATGAGGGTCTTATAGTTTTCTTTATAGTGTGGGACAGTGGGGTAGCCTAGTGGTTAAAGAGTTTGCTGGTCACGGCGAAGACCCGTGTTCGATTACGAAGCCCATTTCTGGTGTCCCCAGAATATATTCTGAATATATTCCATTTTGCATATCTCACTTTGATAAGACCTTTTTTTATTTTTTTTTTAAATCATGAATATTTGATTCATTTATTTTTGAATAACCAACTTAATTCATAAAGGGAAATCACATATGGTTGAGCAGGGGTTGGGAAAGGCAGGGTGCATGGGCCACTTTGTACATTAGAATATAAAATGGCCCATTAAAATTTTGAATTTTACTATTGATAAAAGGGCAGTGGCCCATTCTAAATTCAGAAAATGGCTAATAATCCTGAAAATGGCCCATTGTCAAAGTTCTCTATCCCAATCCCTGGTTGAGTTTACCAAATGTGCAAGTGTATTGTAACAGCCCTGCCAAAAACTGGTGATGTTCTCTGGTATTGACAACCCAGGTTTGTGTAATTAGAATCAAGTAATGTTGCTTCTGAAGCATGGTTTATAAGTTTAGAGTACAAAATAGTTTTCATACCAGATGTAATGAATGTGAGTGCTGCAGAATTAAATTGCATTTTGATCAGTCATATACATTGGGCTTAGCTCATATTGTCATGATAATCATCATGATAATTTTCTAGCAAATTGATTTGATATTGTGACACAGTGCTTCAGATTTGTTGCTTATACCAATGGTTACATACATTTCAATTGGCCTGATTATTGTTTAAAAGTGGAAAATAAAATCTGACATCAGAGGACATATGTAAAATATGCAGAATGATAAAAAATATTCAGGATTAAGTGTCAGCTTGAACATAAAAGGCTTGTAACAGAGGAAAAGTTTGACATGCTTGTTTCTGTTACTAGGCATATCACTCGCAGTTCACCAACCCTCCCAAGCTAATTGGGAACATGGCTCTTCTCCCATTGAGGACAACATACAAGGGACCAGCACCTCGCGACAGTGAGTACAAACAAGTGCCTGACAAGACTAGCTTCATAATAATCACAATGTTAATAAGAATATACACACTATTATGATCTTGTTACTGAGTATGTCGGATCAGAATAGTTTCAACTAGCAACTGATGCTGAATTCTCAAATGGATAAGAATATACAAAAGCCACCGTAGTTTCCTAGCAACTATACTCTCAAAGGGGCCAGGAATTGTATTGATACCCTTTGCGTTACATTGCTTATAATATTGTATTATTTAATCTTTCTTGGTACAGAAGTTTCGAGAACACAGATACATATTACATCAAAGTAATCAAGCTGTTCTGTTTCAGCATCTGATATGGACATCATAGATGAAGCCATCTACTTCTTCAAAGCCAATATTTTCTTCAGAAATTATGAAATTAAGGTAAGATGGTGGTTTTATCAGTAGATCATAAGAGACATTCAGATGTTCTTGTTTTATCAGGAGATCGTAAGAGACATTCAGATGTTCTTGTTTTATCAGGAGATCGTAAGAGACATTCAGATGTTCTTGTTTTATCAGGAGATCGTAAGAGACATTCAGATGTTCTTGTTTTATCAGGAGATCGTAAGAGACATTCAGATGTTCTTGTTTTATCAGGAGATCGTAAGAGACATTCAGATGTTCTTGTTTTATCAGGAGATCATAAGAGACATTCAGATGTTCTTGTTTTATCAGGAGATCGTAAGAGACATTCAGATGTTCTTGTTTTATCTTCACCTACTGATGCATTGATATATGATATGTGGAATTATGGTTAGAAATGTTTTCATCTTCAGTCATCTCAAAATCACCCTTCAGAGGGATGAGACTCTGGGACACTCATATAATATACAAATAATAATAATAATGGCTGTTTCTATAGACGCCAGTCCTCATGGCGCACTACGATTATATGATCATGGTAATTGGTGTGAACTGTGAATCCTGTTGCGATCAATAAAGTTATCATGAGATTGTCGACCCCACCTACCTCTCATTGTGTTAGTACTGTTGCTAAACTTTACATCCTGTTGTTTGTCAGAGTGAGGCTGATCGGACTCTTATCTACATTACGCTCTACATCAGCGAGTGTCTCAAGAAACTTCAGAAGGTAACAGTTGTTAGGAAGACAGCATCATATGTCATGAGTAGTGAAAGGAAACTAACGTCTAGCTTAATCACAGCTATCAACTAGTTTCATTTAGTTAGAGGAACTGTTTGGAATTTGGTGATTTCCATAAAAAAAAAATACAAAAGAAAGCTACAAAGTGTAGAATATGTACACACCTGAAATAGAAATTGACACATAATTTACAAAGACGCATTTGCAATAAAGTTTTTAACTCACCAAATTTTGTATTGTAAACCATCTGTGACTTCTGCATTTTTTACTTTTAGTGGAGTGTATCTTTGTAATTTGAGTGGCTGTTTCTTCTTCTGTTTAAATTTGTACATACTTTGGTTGCTCTCTGTTCATTTTCTGTGGTAGGCCTTGGATTAATGCCCCACACAAAACTGGATTTGGTTATATCGTGCTTGTAAGTGTATACTTAATGTTGTTTTTTTTGTCAACACTGTAGGTAACATTGTACACATAGGAGTTTCCTCACCAGGTGTAATTCATGCTTCTCAAGTTGTTTCTTTTCTCTTCAGTGCACCTCCAGGAACCAAGGAGAGAAGGAAATGTACACCCTAGGAATATCCAACTTCCCCATTCCTGGGGAGCCCAAGTTTCCCCTCAACGCCATGTACACCAAGCCTGCCAACAGGGGAGAGGACGGTAGGTGGTGGGAGAGAGGGAAAGTGGGGATGAGGTTTGGGATAGGGAAGAATCACAGTTTGGATGGGGAGGATCATTTTTGGAATGGGGAGGATCAGATCTGGGATGGGAAAGGGAAGGATCAAATCTGGGATGGGGGAGGATCAGATCTGGGATGGGGGAGGTTCAGATCTGGGATGGGGGAGGTTCAGATCTGGGATGGGGAGGATCAGATCTGGGATCAGATCTGGGATGGAGGAGGGATTGGGAGGTTCAGATCTGGGATGGGGGAGGTTCAGATCTGGGATGGGGAGGTTCAGATCTGGGATGGGGAGGTAGGTTCAGATCTGGGGGATCAGGGAGGAGGTTCAGATCTGGGATGGAGGAGGATCAGATCTGGGATTGAGGAGGATCAGATCTGGGATGGGGAGGTTCAGATCTGGGATGGGATAGAGGTTCAGATCTGGGATCCAGATCTGGGATAGGGAATGGGGTTCAGATCTTGGATGGGGAGGGGAGGGGTGTTCAGATCTAGGATTGGGGAGGATTCAGATCTGGGATGGGGGAGGTTCAGATCTGGTATGGGGGAGGTCAGATCTGGGACAGAGTAATATGCCAGAAGGATATACACAGTATGCACAATGTTTTTTGTCACAACTTCATGAACCAAAAATGTTTAAGTGAATTCTAAAGTGAATTATATGACTAACCATGCTGGCGTCAGTATTCATGACTTCTGTTTGTCTTGCCAGACACAATGCGAGCCTACTTGCAACAGATTCGCCAGGAGACGGGATTCCGGCTGTGTGATAAGGTGTTTGATGCTGCCACAGACAAACCCAGCAAGGTGAGGGACTTTTGTAAAAGTATCGTAAAATTATTGTCCTTCTGAGAGGATACCAGGGGAAGATACAGGTAGCAAAATTACTGTAAGTCCCCATGGTCCTTAGTATGCTGATCAGCCTTCAGTTGCTGGGGATCTAATGCCTGTTTCTATATTGTAGTGTTGTCTATAGTGATATGTTCTTATGATAGCATACTATTTTTAACTTAAGAGCTGTGATTTTGTAGTACTGTCCTTTGATGACAGGTTTTTACGCTCTAAATTTATTGATTTTAATATAAATATATAAATTGTTCTGGTCACGATATGGCTGAAATATTGCTGATGTGACGTTAAATATTAACGCACTCACTGAGCCTTTTGAGTAACCTGATTTATGAGAGGCAAGTAATAAATGTCTAATTTTGTAGTTAACTCATTGTCATTTGTCAAAAGTAGACATTTCGGAGGTTGGACTTGATATTTACCTCATTGTCTTGTTTACACCGCCTCAATTACATCAATGGCTTTGTAGTGATTCTTGTTTATATATGGGACCCTTCATAATTTATGGCTGGGGGGGTGGGGTGGTGATGATGATTTTTATGGAGAAGCATGTACAATGTGAACGACCCCCTAAAAATTTATGTACAATATAAGTGAACCACCCACCCCACCCATGTCATATACAAAATCTGACTCCCCTAGCTCCCCAGAAAAAAATGGGTGATCCCCCTTAAAATCATCATCAAACATCCCCCACTGAGTTAGAATTAGTCTTCAGCAACCTATGCTTGTCGTAAGAGGCTGACTAGCCATATAGCGACTAGCCATGTAGCTACTAGCCATGTAGCTAGAATAGTGCGGAGTGTGTATCTGACGTTAAACAACAAACATCCTTAAACTAGGAGCCATGATTTGACAATTGACTCACTGATCTATGGGCTGTGGATTACTATGTTAGGAAAGTGCCAATGCAGGATTTATAGCTCTCTTTTAACCTACATACTAATCTCTTTCCTAATCAATTACATCCAAATGCTAATAATCTGAAAGTGAACATTTATGAGTTGATATTAAAATCCAAAACTGGTAGTTATATATCGCAGGAGCTGCCATCTTTTTCCATTCTGGGGCCTAGTGGTTAAAGTGTTTGCTAAAGGCCCAGGTTTTAATCCCCATATGGGTACAATGTATGAAGCCCATTTTTGTCGTCACTTAATATTTTATTGCTGGAATGTTTCTTAATGTCATAAAATCAACTCACTTACACCTTCATTCACTCTTTTGTTCACTATGTTGATGTTGTTGTTTTCAGTGGTGGCTGTGTTTTGCCAAGAGGAAGTTTATGGACAAGAGTCTCTCAGCTCCAGGATATTAACACAAGTTCCAGACTATACCACACCTTTACAATAACTGTATATCTGCTGTCATTCATTACTGGAGTCACTGCCGCTTCCAATGCATATGTTGCCATGGCAACATGCTTAACCTTTGTAGTCTATTACTTTAACCAAACTATAATTACGAAAATATGTCATTGCCGATTTATATGGGAAATTAATTTTTAGTAATGTGCACTTTTAGAGTATAATGTTTCTATATCTGAAAAACCAATGAAACAGGAATAAGAAAGAAAATATTTCTGTATTGGAATGATCCTTGAAAAGGTTAAAAGTAGGAAATGTTCGGATGTTATTTGAATGATGCATGAATGATTCATAAACGAGTTATTACAAGGAAAATAGTTTGGATTGTTTGAAAGATCCACAAATGGTCATAAGCCTTGACAGAAGCAAGAACACATGATGGACATGTCTTTCATTCGTAGCATGTTTGTATTGTATTATACATGAGGTGTTTATGTCACATTAAATTTATTTGTAACACAGTGTTGTTTTGTCATGTCAACATGGACTGCTGTCAGGTGGTTCCAGCAGGGAGCCTGGTCACAGCAAGGATTCTCTCCCTTGATTGCACATCTATTGATTCTGTCATATTGCTCTAGTTTGTCTGTGAGCGAATTTGGTTTGAGCAATATTCAACATGTTACCCATGTGGGGAATCGGACCCGGATCTTCGACATAATGAGCGAACACTTTAACCACTAGACTACTTCCAGGCACTTGCCCCCTCCCTCACTCAAATGATTGGAAACCTTAGCGATTTACCTGAGCTGGCACACATACAGGAACCGGTTTACCTGAGCTGGCACACATCCAGGAACCAGTTTACCTGAGCTGGCACACATCCAGGAACCAGTTTACCTGAGCTGGCACACATCCTGGAACCAGTTTACCTGAGCTGGCACACATCCAGGAACCAGTTTTTACCTGAGCTGGCTCTCATCCAGGAACTAGTTTACCTGAGCTGGAACACATCCAGGATCCGGTTTACCTGAGCTGGCACACATCCAGGAACCAGTTTACCTGAGCTGGCTCACATCCAGGAACCAGTTTACCTGAGCTGGCACACATCCAGGATCCGGTTTACCTGAGCTGGCACACATCCAGGAACCGGTTTACCTGAGCTGGCTCACATCCAGGAACCAGTTTACCTGAGCTGGCACACATCCAGGATCCGGTTTACCTGAGCTGGCACACATCCAGGAACCAGTTTACCTGAGCTGGCTCACATCCAGGAACCAGTTTACCTGAGCTGGAACACACCCAGGATCCGGTTTACCTGAGCTGGCACACATCCAGGAACCAGTTTACCTGAGCTGGCTCACATCCAGGAACCAGTTTACCTGAACTGGAACACATCCAGGATCCGGTTTACCTGAGCTGGCACACATCCAGGAACCGCCATCTAATCATTTAGGAAAGGGTCATTTTGAGGAAGTAGAACGAACATCAATGTACAGAGACCACTACCATCTCCTGCACAGTTACCTCATTTGCATATCACTCATCTGCACGGTTGTCCTGCCTATACACGAACAAATTAAGAATGGACAAAAAATAACACCCACTGTAAAACTCACTGGATGCAAAAAGAGTATAAATGATGGAATAGTTGAAGAAGAAATACTGCCTATGTGTGGTGAGTTTCATTACTCAATCACCAAGTTTCAAATCCAACAAAAAAGTTCCTTCCTTTATGTTTTAATATATTTTTTTATTGGAGCCAGAGACTACCCTGCAGTTCAACTGAAACTGCGGTATCACAAAAAGCGTTACTGCGAGGGATGACTGTACATATTTTTTTCTCTCACCTGCCCAGAATTTTTATTCTGACATGAACAAATAGAATGTTTACTTATCTTAATTGACCCTGTCGTTATGGAAAATTATGCCCTCTTGTGATAATAAAATACTCTTACCCTTAAACAACCTGAAAAAAACTAGGTCTCAACCTCATAAAAAGATTTTTATAGTGCTAGTTCCAGTCAAAAAGTACTGTTCTGTAGCGCTCTCTGAACAACTTGAGAATGAAAAGTTAGACAAACTGTATGTTTTCTTAAAAAGGTATGTCTTCTGTTTATATTTGAAAATCTCCAGGTTGTTAATTGTGCTTAGCTCCAGTGGAAGTTAATTCAAGAGAGTGGGTCCTGCCACCTGAAATGATCCCCAAACCTGGCACTGGACCTAAAGTGGGGGACAAGAAGACCAAGATTTTCAGATCAGAGACTTCAGTTAGGCTGAAATCTGGTGATCAGGTCAGATAGATACTTTGGAGCTAGGTTATTGAGACACTTGAAAACAAAAAGGTTGAGTTTTTATTGGATTCTGTCTGATATGGGAATTATGTGAGAGTAACAGGAGTTATGTGAGAGTATTTCTGTGATCTGGAGGCAGGTCTAGCAGAAAAATTCTGTACATGTTGGAGCTTTCCTATTGAGGCAGGCCATAGAATAGACAGTTGCAGTAGTCCATCTGAGATGAAATGTATGCATGGATCATGAACAGGTTGTTCTCTCATCAAGGCAGCGTAGGATTTGCGAGATGTTCTGCAAGTGGTAGATTGACTTGCTGCATACTGACTTAATATGAGCATCTGCTTGATCTTACTTCATGTACATTTATATAAAATTGTGTCTGCAGCAAAACTTCTTGATCTTCATCACATTAATCTAAAGACTGACCTGTGAAGATCCGGGTTAGAATTGATCTTCAGTAACCCATGCTTGTCATAAGAGGTGATTAACAGTATCAGGTGGTCAGGCTCACTGACTGGGTTGACACGTCATCGTATCCCAATTGTGTAGATCGATGTTCATGCTGTTGATCACTGGATTGTCCTGGTCCAGATCCGATTATATACAGGCCGCCGCCATATGGCTGGAATATTGCTGAGTGTGGCATAAAAGTAAACTCACTAATCTAAAGACTATTAATATGTGTTTTTAAAAAATTAAACTCATTAAAATAAGTTTCACATTTATTAAAAAACATGTTATACATATATTTCACCCACCCACTCTGTTGCTGGTTGAGGTTGGCGATGAGAACCACATAAGTAAAAATGGATGGCCTTAAGCAAAATGTATAACATTTGTGTTTGCTGTTGGAGTGCTAAATCAGATGATGGTAGGCATTTAGAAGTTGGAAGGTAACAAAACAACGTATGGTATCGATTTTCAACTTCTTTATTATTTACAACACAACGTTTCTGGACTACTTCTTGCCCCTTGATCAGGTACTGACAGAATATGATCACAAGCAACATACATGTACTAGTATATCGTACGTACAGGAGGACGGTGAGATGGAATTAAAGAATGAGATGTACAAAAATCAAGGGGATGAAGTGACATGTTAATACACAAGTAGTCTTGGTGGAATATCCTGTTGTGTGGTACTTGTGTGCCAAGTTGTCACACTTGGTTGTTAGTGTCATCATACCCTCATTGTGTCATGACAGTGTGGATGGCTGTTCATAATATCAATCACTGGATTGTCTAGACCTGATTATTTACAGGGGTGGCAAGGTAGCCTTGTGGGTCAAGCCGATAACCGAGGTTCGATTCCCCACATGAGTACAATGTGTGAAGCCCATTTCTGGTGTATCCTGCTGTGACATTGCTGGAATATTGCTCAATAAGACAAAAAATCCAACTCACTCACTCACTGATTGTCTAAAGACCACAATAGCACCTTAACTAACCACGAATCTTTACAGATAAGCTTTATGGTGATACAAGATATAAATGAAAAAGGTACACAAGGAACCAGAAACTCCTGCTGAAAGATGCTGAACTCAGCTGGTTTGATCATCAGTGTGTCAGATGGAGAACCTGACCAGTACTTACATGCATCATGTAGTGGTGTTACGATGATCGAAACTATTTGAAAATTGATCAAAAGAAGGATAAAAATAATTATTGTTTTGTAAAACCCATATTTTCGATTAATCAGAATTTTGTTGTTTTAGTATAACTAACCATTAAATTTGTCGAATATTCACGAACAAACATGTGCTCAACAACGTAAAGCTATGCGTATTGTAAAATTTTAACCACTTTTGTTTGATTACAATTCCAGTGCCTTTCTTGCATGACAGTACTAGTTATGAAAAGCATTAATTAGAAAATAACTGGGGAAAACCCTTAAAATTGGTGATTATGTCATGGTTCTTGAAATCGCCACTAGAAACTTGGGATATCAGATTTATTAATATTTTGAACAAAATGCAAAAGATATTTATCGCATTCACACAAGTTTTAAGTTTAAAGGAAATATTTGAGCATGGATGAATACATTTCTGTTCAGTGTTGGAGATATCTTTCATCGTCTGTCCACTTTACAATGAAGAACAATTAATCTTTTCAAATGTAAATAAGCATCATTTATTAATAGTGTATTATTTGATTAGATTTTGGAAACAATACTTCCTTAGATAAACAGTATTCCCAGAAATTATTGAAAAGTTGTTTCAGCAAATACTAGTACCTAATACAGTGGAAGCCCTCTAAACTGGCATTTGTGGGGACCGGCAAAAAATGCTGATACATGTATAAAGGGCATGCCAGTTTAGAGAACTGTTCCCTTTTCAACCTGAGAATGATCTTCCGTGTGCGTAAAATACGACTGAACAGCATGTTGATAGTCATCATATTCTTTATTCATCAATAAAGATAACATCAGAAAAATACAACACAAATGTATGTGTACAGTACAGCTTCCATTTACGTTATAATGCATCTCAAGAGCGATGTTCTCAGCGACAGTCTCCAAGATCTGAACATGTGTCTTTCAGCATATCAAGCACAGCTCAGAGGGACAGTTGAGGCCTGAAACAATTTGAGTGCCAATTTGGTACTAAAGCGCAAGATCTTTTTGAGTAGGCCGAGGAATTGCATCAAAATCTTTTATCAGCTGAATTTTCGATTCAAGAGTTAATTGCAATCTAGCCCACTTGACTGGTCTAGCCATCTTGACACAGTGTGTGACTGACAAATTGTGACATGACAATTAATTTATAATACAAGTGACACGTGTCACATACCAATTTACCTCACCCTAATCCACCTACTTAGGCCTAATTCTTATCCATACCCCTTTATCAGGCAACATCAATGAGTTTAATGCCGATGGTAATCCACTGTGTTGTTAATACATGTTCAGCCAATCAACAGGAGAGCCGAGATACTGGATGCCAGTTTAGAAAGCGTGTAAATGATCATAAATTAGAATAGAATAATACTTTAATGCCTGTTCAGGAATTTGTGTTACATCAGAACTACTGACACATTAGAGAGATACAAAACATATTTACATAAATTCATTGATTTAGGTATCTTCACATTTGTTTAAGAGAGATATGGTACTTGGAATAAAGATGTACGGGCTCTCTTAGTTTTCACAATTGGAACTTTGTAGCGGCGTGAAGGGAGGAGGTTGTATTCCGAATTTAAGTAGTGAGTACGGTCAGATATAATTTTGACAG